TACTCCCTAATAGTACTCCTTTATAAGGGAGAGCCATCTCTTTGTCCATTTAATCCTTTTTTTATCAGTAAGAATGACTTTCAGGATTAGTCAGTTTGAAAATGGAAACATGGATCCACGATTTGAACAGCAGTATTTTACAGGGCACTTTTCATGTGAGATATAACAAGCGCTTTTCTTGCAAAATGTCATATTATTATTTAATCTCCAGGCTTGAGAGCATGCAATAGTTTTATTCCTGTACAGCAATTGACCTGCTGTAAAAAAAAACACTAAAGGCTTGTGTTAATGACATGCAGACATTCTTCACTTTACTATTTAAACTCCTACACAATGGACAATAAAACACATAACACACCAATTCATTACAAACCATATATCTTATACTCAGCAATCATTGTAATATCACATGTCATCTCACAAAACAGAACACAACAGACATTTTAGATACACATAATGAATACCTAGCAGACGTGCCAATACAAAAAGCATATTCATGGACATGCAACTAAACCATGACCAATCCAAAATAAATTAACAAAATAAGTAGATAAATGTCACACTCTGTGTCCCTCAGAAGAAACACAGTTAGACATAATGTATGTTCCTATGCTTGTGATAGATTACAAATGCAGTCTTAAACTAACACCTTCAAAACTCCATTCTCATACCTATGTATAAGAAGCCTTTTAAAAAAATTATGAAAATTTCTGCAAACTATTTGACTTCTACGGAATCTGACAATCAACGTTGAAGAGAGTTCACAAAACTTTGCTAATGAACAGGTAAGATGTAAGAAACAGGAATAAACTATTGCAACCGCAACCAATAGATACATTGTACACCAGACCACAAAACAGAGCCTCTTAGAGCTGATAGAACTACTCCAACTCCCACTGCTCTTGGACAAAATGCTAGTATTCAACAGTCCATAAAACAGTTATTTAATAGGTTACTAGGCTGGCATTTCTATCTGTATCAATAGACTGGGACAAACTGATTCAAATATAATTTAAAACAACACATATTAGTCATAATAGGGAGTAATTCCTTAAAGATTACAGTACAGAGAATCATAAAGCATATGCAGCAGGTGATGCACTAGATCATTTAAAGTACCTGTAGCAAGCAAAAGTTAGCTTACAGCACAAAATGAAACGTGTTGGACTGCTGAAAATGTAGATGTTGCTCTCTAATTTACAAACAAGAATTATATTTACAGTATGGATCCTCTGCAACAAACACACAGGGCAGAAAAAATGTGGTGTTTAATGTTTTCAACTAATGAATTGACTTTTGTCCTAGTATGAAAATACAGGGCTCATCATGCAAACAACATAATACAATCACACTATCCACACTCATGGAAAGTGTAGTGGGCTTATGGTATAGAAACAAACAATAATTATACCAAGTATACAGAGCCCATGTAAAATACATAACAATAAAACAAAAACAAAAAAGTATACTTTATGAAAGAGGAGACTGGAGAAATATTCAGAGATATAATGATAAATGGGATTAGAGGGCACCCTTAAATACCAAAAAAACCCTTATGGAAAAACATATATAGAGCACCACCCACACCTAAACATCAAGAAATATATAAATATATGTTGGAAAAGAATAGTAAAACTATCATTCCCCTACACTCCCTCCGTCATCTCCTTTACCGGAGACTTCAGTAGACTGCTCACCTACTGAGAGTAATAGGGAAAACCCTGCAGATTTCTCACCTGCAGCAGACTGCTCGCCTGCTCCTGCTCTTCTGTTGCCTCAGAAGAGACTTTACCTGACAAACTCCCTCCTCCACCGGAGTCATCTCCTTTACAGGAGACTTCAGTAGACTGCTCACCTACTGAGAGTAATACTTCACTACCCACGTTCAGAACCCGAAGCGAGAGATAGTTGGGAGCCAGAAGGGGATAGACAATCAAATGTCATGTACTCACCAATTACTCTACGGTGCCAGAACGAGCCCCCATTTGTAAGTGAAGATTTCCTGCGTCAGGAATTTCCCTTTATGTCATGCCATGGACTTCTAAGCAATTTGGAACTCTGTATTTCTGGTGAGGAGCCTCCAACGAATGAGACAAGACAATGCCAGGTTCAAAGTGACTTCTGAGCGTTTAATGAGCTGTGTAACAGGTTATATGCAGCAGGAAACAGGGGTGGTCATTACAAGCATTATCCAATCTTATTAAAATCATTTATCTTATCTTAACATCTTAACATATAGCAAGCTTGAAGGTATATCTTCATGTTCTGGCCTTGCTCAAAGCTAAATTTCACTATAACTACGCACTTCAAATTAATATGCATGTGCACTACGAATTAAAGATATTTACTACTCAGTTCTAAATTACTCGTTACTATGCAGTTATGATCAAAGGGAGAAAAACAGGAAATAAGGCCGACAAACAGAAACATACAGGATATAACACCTATTACTTGTTACACGATGTTCTACAGCACTTACTTGTCTAGAAGGATACAGGGAGTGCAGAATTATTAGGCAAATTAGTATTTTGACCACATCATCCTCTTTATGCATGTTGTCTTACTCCAAGCTGTATAGGCTCGAAAGCCTACTACCAATTAAGCATATTAGGTGATGTGCATCTCTGTAATGAGAAGGGGTGTGGTCTAATGACATCAACACCCTATATCAGGTGTGCATAATTATTAGGCAACTTCCTTTCCTTTGGCAAAATGGGTCAAAAGAAGGACTTGACAGGCTCAGAAAAGTCAAAAATAGTGAGATATCTTGCAGAGGGATGCAGCACTCTTAAAATTGCAAAGCTTCTGAAGCGTGATCATCGAACAATCAAGCGTTTCATTCAAAATAGTCAACAGTGTCGCAAGAAGCGTGTGGAAAAACCAAGGCGCAAAATAACTGCCCATGAACTGAGAAAAGTCAAGCGTGCAGCTGCCACGATGCCACTTGCCACCAGTTTGGCCATATTTCAGAGCTGCAACATCACTGGAGTGCCCAAAAGCACAAGGTGTGCAATACTCAGAGACATGGCCAAGGTAAGAAAGGCTGAAAGACGACCACCACTGAACAAGACACACAAGCTGAAACGTCAAGACTGGGCCAAGAAATATCTCAAGACTGATTTTTCTAAGGTTTTATGGACTGATGAAATGAGAGTGAGTCTTGATGGGCCAGATGGATGGGCCCGTGGCTGGATTGGTAAAGGGCAGAGAGCTCCAGTCCGACTCAGACGCCAGCAAGGTGGAGGTGGAGTACTGGTTTGGGCTGGTATCATCAAAGATGAGTTTGTGGGGCCTTTTCGGGTTGAGGATGGAGTCAAGCTCAACTCCCAGTCCTACTGCCAGTTCCTGGAAGACACCTTCTTCAAGCAGTGGTACAGGAAGAAGTCTGCATCCTTCAAGAAAAACATGATTTTCATGCAGGACAATGCTCCATCACACGCGTCCAAGTACTCCACAGCGTGGCTGGCAAGAAAGGGTATAAAAGAAGAAAATCTAATGACATGGCCTCCTTGTTCACCTGATCTGAACCCCATTGAGAACCTGTGGTCCATCATCAAATGTGAGATTTACAAGGAGGGAAAACAGTACACCTCTCTGAACAGTGTCTGGGAGGCTGTGGTTGCTGCTGCACGCAATGTTGATGGTGAACAGATCAAAACACTGACAGAATCCATGGATGGCAGGCTTTTGAGTGTCCTTGCAAAGAAAGGTGGCTATATTGGTCACTGATTTGTTTTTGTTTTGTTTTTGAATGTCAGAAATGTATATTTGTGAATGTTGAGATGTTATATTGGTTTCACTGGTAATAATAAATAATTGAAATGGGTATATATTTGTTTTTTGTTAAGTTGCCTAATAATTATGCACAGTAATAGTCACCTGCACACACAGATATCCCCCTAACATAGCTAAAACTAAAAACAAACTAAAAACTACTTCCAAAAATATTCAGCTTTGATATTAATGAGTTTTTTGGGTTCATTGAGAACATGGTTGTTGTTCAATAATAAAATTAATCCTCAAAAATACAACTTGCCTAATAATTTTGCACTCCCTGTATTTACTAAGCATTGGATCCAGATAAAGTATATTATTTCAAATAGCTGACATGTTGACCAATTAAACAGACTGGCCAGCCGGTCATCTGCATCTTAAGCCCTGGGTAAACATAGGCAAAGTGTATTATTCCCAACAAGGGTTGATGATTTGAGCTTGCTTTTTAGCCCCAGGACCTGGGAAGTCATTGAGTCAACCATGATCCTCTCTGTATGCCAAAATATTCTAGAGTCAAATACGAGGTCTTCTATAAGCCAGCAAAAACTTGGCAGAAATTAGGTCATGCAACAAGACACTGATCCCAAGCACACCAGCAAATCTACAACAGAATGGCTGGAAAAGAAAATAATCAAGGAGTTACAATGGTCCAGTCAAAGTCCAGATCTCAACCAGATATAAATGCTGTGGCAGGACCTTAAGAGAGCTGTGCATAAACAAATGCCATCAAACCTCAATGAACTGAAGCGATGCTGTAAAGAAGAGTGGGCCAAAATTCCTCCATAACTATGTGAGAAACTGATAAAGTCATAAATGAAAAGATGACCAAGTTATTGCTGCTAAAGGTGATTCTACAAGCATTTGAATTATAAGGTGGACTTAACTTTTCACACACGACTTCTCCATTTTGGCTTTATTTTTGTTACATAAATAATGACACAGTATAATATGGCATGTGTTGTGTTTCATCAGAGGTTGTATTTACCTAGTTTTAAGACCTGCTAAAGAATAGATTAACGGATTAACGGAATGCCTGTTATCTGTATTGTTCATTATTTAAATTTGCATTTGACCTTCTTGCGGATTTCTGGTCTGAAATATTGCTATACTTAGGACATGCCATGTGCTGTATGTCTCCGGTACAGAGATGTGCCCCTACCCTTCTCTGTGAAAAGTGTTGAATTGGTCTGATGTCATCTATCAGGATAATCTCACAGCAGCAGGAAATGGCGCTGGATAAAAGGTGAGTTTACAGGAACACTCATGCATCATAACAACGTAATCTCTTTAAAGTTGTAATGAAGGCAGGAATGTCTGGGTGCTATTTACCATCAGTGTTAAACAATTTTTTTTTCTTTTTTAACATCAGAAATTGGTATTTTTAATTCATGTTTTCTTAGTCTTTAAGAGCGTTGATGTCCAATACCAAATCATCATTTGTTTTTTATTATTCCATTATAACTTTAAGTATTGTACATTACTCAATATATCATAAAACGATTCCTGGGGAATTTAATTTTAGCTGTAGTAAACTAGATGTCTTGTGAAATTCCCCCAAGATTCATTCCAACTCTGTGTGCATACTATATTTAATTATGCATAAGACGTAGGATATCAATCTTCCTCATTTAAACTACCAACCAAATAAAGCATTTACACTACAGGGCACAATGTGGGTCTTTTTTATTTTAAGGGGAGGTCCATCTAGGTCACCACTGTAAAATCTCCGTTCACCCAATGACTCCATATGCTATGATACAGCTCAAGATTACCAAGCTTAGTATATACTGCTTTTATCCATCAAACTTTGATAATTCACATAAATTTGCTGCCATTATAATTTGTATCGCCTATGAAAGGATTTATTATTGTTAGGTATGTATAAATGAAAAAAGAAAGGTATGAGATGTTAATTAAAAAAGTAAGGCCCATAATTTTACCAATTACTCATTCTAATTTATTTTTTAACCCCTTCCCAACCGCAGACGTACTGGGTATGTGTCACAACACCCCTTAGTTGATTTGCTCTCGTGCAGTACCCACATTCACCACTATCTTTGTTTGGCACTGTTCCTGCATTTTGCATTTTTCTTTATTTTTCTAATTATTTACGAAAAAAAGGGGTACAGAAAGGAAAAAGGGATGGGGTACAGTCAGTAGCGTTGAATAATCAGTTTAATACAATTGTTCATACAATATTATGCATTTATCATATTGCATTTTAATAATGAGTATATAGATCCTGTCCATATTTATTGTATTTAACCTAGTGGGTACTACTGTGTCCACTCTGTGATTTCCCTCAGGATATGTTGAAGACTACGAGAAGGGAGAGAAAAAAAAAAAGAAAGAAAAAAAAAAAAGAGAAAACAGGAAAAGGTTCACTCCATAGCATTCAAATATTTAAGCCGGTCTAATAGTAGAGACTTATATTTATTTCGCTTGGTTGCTTATTATTATCAAATGGATTATATATCCTACTTATTATGTATATCTGGGATTATGTTTTAGCTCGGCCTGGGTGACTAAGGGGCTAAACCGAAGTTTAAAAGTTATTATTGATTTTTATTAATTTTTACTATATTCTGATAGTAACTAGAAAATGAGTTTAATTCCTCACATCTTATTCTGAATGTATACATCATATGTCTACTAAGCTTATTTCATTCTTATATTTGTATATAGGTTTTCCAGCAGTTAGCTACTTTTAGGCTTAGTTTCCCAATTTTGGTCTGGTTCCACATGGTAAACTCATAATCTGTAGTCAAAGACATTAATGCTTTAAGTTCGTCTATTGAGGGTAAGCTTGTGGTCTTCCAGTTTCTAGCTATGAGAACTGACATTATATATAATAATAAAAATATCAGTTTACACATAGGTTTAGTGATGTTGTCTGGAAAAACTTTGAGAAGGAACATTTTTGGTGTGTGTCACCTCTTGAATCATTGTTTCAACCTCTCTCCATAAACTGTTAACTCTTTCACATGTCCACCATATATGTAACATTTTTAAGAGTGGCATCTCCAGCATGTAGCTTGTATTTCAGGGTAAATTGCATGAAGGCGAGTGGGTACCATATACCATCTGTATAGAATTTTATGTGATATTTACAAGTGTGCTATACAGGATGACATTCTCATATGTGCCGTAAAAATGTTGTTCCATTCATCTTCTGATATAGTTTCTTGGATGTCAGTTTGCCAATCTATCATAAATTTTGGTGTTGCTGTTTCTCTTGGGTTTGTTAAAGTGTTATAACAGAGCGATAATACTTTCCTAGGAAGGGTAAGTGCTATACACATCTCTTCAAATTTCGTGACTATCTTTCGAGTTATTCGGTGTCTTACATATAAATTGTTGAGCTTTAATCTGTAAATATGCAAATTTAAATTGTGGGAAGAGTGCAAATTCCGTTTGGAGGGCCAAAAAGGACTTTAACCTTTCTATCGTGTAAAGCTTAGAAATATGTGTAATTTCCTTTCTGTGCCATTGTAAATAAGGAAATGTTTCATTACAACTGTACAAACTTTTTATGGGGGTTGTCAATGACCATGGGTGCCCTGAACATAGGCTTTCTCTATTACTGTCCCAAATTTTAAATAAAAGTCTTGTCGAGTGTAATGTGTCAGGGGTTACTTTCCGTTTTTGTTGAGCAAGCCATATTAGAGAGTAAAGGTCCAGGGTTCCGCAGCAATATTCTTCTATTGCCACCCATTGCGGTGTATCTCTCTGTGGGTTAATAGAAGCTATGTTAGTTAAAATTGCAGCGTAGTAAAAAAATTTCAGGTTTGGAAACCCCATACCCCCACTTTTCACTTGTCTCATTATTAATCCTTTTGGGACTCGGGGATGTTTCCCCCCACAGCTAAAACTTAATAATATTGCTTGTAAGGATGTGATAAATGTTTGTGGGACCTTAATCTGTAAAGCTCTGAATAGGTAAAGTATTTTTGGTAAGATTTGCATCTTAATTGGCGATATTTTACCTACCCATGATAATAGTACCCTTCTGTAAAGCTCTGATTAGGTAAAGTAGTTTTGTTAAGATTTGCATCTTAATTGCCAATATTTTACCTACCCATGATAATAGTACCCTTCCCCTAGCTTTCAATTGGCTTTCTGTATCTTTAAATAATTTTGTATAATTAGCTAAAAATAGGTCTTTTTCCTTTTTTGTAAATCTAATTCCCAAATACAGAAGATAATCTTCCCTCCAATTGTAATGATAGTCTAATTTAAGTCTAACTGCTTGAAATTTAGGAATATTAAGGCACATTGCTTGCGATTTGCTTGTATTGAGCTTTTAGTACAAATTTTGACTATATAAAAGTAGTTATTTCTTTAGGTTTGGTAAGGAGATGTGTGGCTGAGTGATCGTTAATAAGATATCATCTGCATAAGCGTTAAGTTTGTATTCGCTCCAACCTATTTGAACTCCCTGTATATCTTTATTCTGCCGTATAGCTGTAAGTAAAGGCTCTAAAGCAAGAACATAGAGCATCGGCGATAAGGGACACCCCTGACGTGTTCCATTAGTAATATTAAACGGTTTTGAACAAAATCCTGAGTTCAATACTGTAGCTTTGGGATTACTGTAGAGAGCTTTAGTGATTGAAAGAAAAGCAGAAGGGAATTTGTATGCGTTCAAGGTTTCGTGTAGGAAATTCCAATTCAAGCGATCAAAAGCTTTTTCAGCATCTAAAGATAATATGATACTTTCCTGCTTAGATGATTTTACAAAATTATAAATGTCTAATACCTTTCGTGTATTATCTGTCCCCTGTCTGCCTGACACAAATCCCACTTGGTCTGTATGAATTAAAGTAGGTAAAATAAACTTCTTTCCGCATATATTTTTGCATATATTTTAGCGTCTGTATTCAATAATGAAATCGGTCTAAAATTCTGACAGACCGTAGGGGGTTTCCCAAATTTCGGAATAGTAATTATTTGTGCCTTTAAAAATTCTGTAGGGAATTTTCCTGCTTTAGTGCCTTCATTAAAAAAATGGGTCAGTGGATCGGCCAAGGATTCCTTAAACAGAGTATAATACAAATCAGAAAAACCGTCGGGTCCTGGTGCTTTTCCTTTGGCCAGTCTCTTTATTTGTTGAGTAACTTCTTCCTTTGTAATAGGAGCTATAAGCTGTGCCAATTGGGAATCCTTTAAGGTCGGTAGATATAATTTATCCAAATATTGACCTATTCCTCTAGAGGTTGGTTTTGGAAGATTTTTTTTGATCTTTTAGGTTATACAATAGACCATAAAAAGCTGCAAATTCCTCACAGATCAAATTTGTTTGAAGAATTTTTTTGTCCTGCCTTAGAAAGTATAAATGGAATTCTAGATTGAATTTGTTTATCGCGAAGTCTCTGTGCAAGTACTCTCGTAGCTTTGTTACCCATAGAGTATGATGTCGCCTTGAGTTTTTTCAAAGCAATGTTGGCTTGTCGTTGATGGATTTCGTTAATATCGTTTTGTGTTTGTTGTATGCGGTCTTGAAAAAACACGGATGATCTTGTCTGATTCTGTTTATGGAGATCTTGAAGTTTCTTTAGGAGGTTCAGCAAAGTTGTTTGATTAGACTTTTTAAGATAAGAAGCTCTGCTGATAAATAGACCTCTTTTTACTGGTCTATGCGCTAACCATAATGTTGTAAAGTTTGTATCTCCAGAGTTGTTTGTATCAAAATATTGGCGTATTGCTTGTTGAGTTTTATCCAAAAATATAGGATCGTTTAATAACTGATCATTTAGTCTCCATGGGCTTCTGTTTGTATAATTGTATTGATCCATTAAATTAAGTATAACTGGATTATGATCTGATTCCGTCGATACCCCAATCTCACAAGACGTAACTTGTGTTAAGTGTGAACTGTGCATATAAAAACGTCTCTACGTGAATATGTATTATGAACTAGGGAGTAATGTGTATATTCTCTAGTATTAGGACGGAGCGTTTGGCACTGTTCCTAATTTCTTTTCATTAAGCACTTCACCTGGTCCTTGTTTAGCACCTATATAGTTTGGTTTCTCCCCTCACGCCTGGTCAGATCATGGTCTCTTGTCTCCTGTTTTCCCGGTTCCTGGTTCCCTGTGATTCTGGCTCCTGGCTCCTTGATCTTGCATACTGTTCCTTTGTCCTGTGTCCTGCGCCGTCTTCGTTCCTGTGTTCTCCTGGTCTTCGTCCTGTGTCCTCCTGAGCCTGCGTTCCTGTGTCCTTTGTTCCTGTGCCCTCCGATCCTGTGTTCTGGTTCTGTGTTCTCTGCCTTATTACCAGTGATCCTGACCCTGCAGCCTTGTTCATTTATTCTGCTTCTGACCTTGCTTCCTGGTGTCAGTATATTAGTCTTGTGACTCTGGATCTATGCCCTACCTACTACTCGTTGTAACTGCACAATCCTGCCCTTATACCAAAGGACTGTTTCAGTATACGTTGCCTGCACTATTCGTGCTTATCCTGATTTATTGTATATATTTTGTGGCATTGTATATATATTGTTTTGTTTTGACTTTTGGTTCTCTGTAATATATATATCTCTTGATTTACCCCATTCATTTGTGTCTTGGCATTTATTTATTTGCTGAATTGGTTCCCACATTTAAAGGGACAGTGCTGTTCCAGGGCAGCACCCCTTCATGTCATTACAGTATGTCCAACAAAAAACTGCAAAAATCACCCCTAGACTTACCTGGACCAGCGATTCGTTGTGATCCCGGTCGGGGGGGGGGGCATCCCGAGACCCCAGCAGCAGTTCTGTCCACCGCGGTCCTCCAGGGTCATGTGATCACCATGATATTACCAGTAAAAGTGCAGTTTTTGTGTAAAAAATGCAAAAAACTAATATGAACGCTAAATTTGGCAAGCGTTTGGCACTAAGTGGCTACTACAAAGACTGGACATACCCATGGGGGTCTGCGGGGGGGGGGAGCAAGAGGGGGCACTTGCCCCCCCCCCCCTGGATTTTTCAGCTTGTGCTGCTATTTTTGGTTTGTGTGAGAATACACTGCAATACCAGCGCCGGCCAGTAGGCCCCCCTGGATTTTTCTGCTTGTGCTGCTATTTTTGGTTTGTGTGAGAATACACTGCAATACCAGCGCCGGCCAGTAGGTGGCGCTGTGAATGTTAAAAGGCAGGAAGCTACAGCTTATCCCTGCCTCTCGCTCATGACTTAAACCGCAGGGGAGCAACACAGAGGCAGCCTACAGAGCAGGTAAGTGAGAGATGGGGGGCACTATTACCCCCTCACCACCCTCAGCATTACCCCCCTCATCATCACCCCCCCTCACTATCACCACCCTCAGCATCACCCCCTCACCACCCTCAGCATCACCCCCCCACTATTACCCCTTCACCACCCTTAGCATTAGCCCCACTCACCATCACCCCCTCACTATTACCCCCTTTACCACCCTCCAGCATCACCCCCCACTATTACCCCCTCACCACCCTCAGCATTACCCCACTCACCATCGCCCCCTCTCACTATTACCCCCTCACCACCCTCAGCATCACCCCCTCACTATTACCCCCCTCACCATTATCCCACTATCACCCCCCACCACCCTCTCACACCTCAGCATCCCCCTGCTCACTACCACCACCCCCCTCACCACCCTCAGCATCACCCCCCCTCACTATCACCCCCTCCACACCCTCAGCATCCAGCATCACCCCCTCACCTCACACCCCTCACAATCACCCCCTTACCACCCTCTGCATCACCCCCTCACTATCACCACCCTCAGCATCACCCCCCTTACCACCCTCAGCACCCCACCACCCTCAGCATTGCCCCCCCTCACTATCACCCCCTTCCTCAGCATCACCCCCCTCTATCACACCCCCTGACCACCCTCAGCATCACCATCCTCAGCATTACCCCCCTCACCATCACTCCCTCCCTCAGCATTACCCCGCTCACCACCCACAGCATTACCCCATCACCCCCTCCCTAACCATCACCCCCCCTCTCACCATCACCTGCCTCTCCCACTCACTATCACGTGCCTCTCCCACTCACCATCATCCACCTCTCACCATCATAATCCGCCTCTCCCTCTCACCATCATCACCCGCCTCATCCTCTCACCATCATCACCTGCCTCTCCCACTCACCATCACACGCCTCTCCCTCTCACCATCACCAGCCTCTCCCTCTCACCATCACCCCCCTCTTCAAGCACCTACCCCATACACATAAGGTACCAGACAAAAAACGCAAACATGCTCACAGAGACATACATTCACACACACACAGATACTCTCTGTCAGGCACATACACAGGTAAACTGTGCATCAATGTGTATATGTGACAGTGTGCATGTATTGCAACTCTATTTTTTTCACTTTTTTGTTAGTGGGGCCTCATGTTTGAGTTTTGCCTAGAAGAAGAAAAAGAAGAAGAAAAAGAAGACTGTGTCAAATGAAGGAGGAGAAAATGAGATTGGAGCACTTCATTCTGGACACCACATCATAAGGCTTTGGTACCTGGGCCTGGCAGGGAAACTTTGGACCTTCTCATCTCCCCAGGTAAAAAAAAATATCAGTGTTAATGTGTTCACTTTAATTTACGGAGTGTCAGGAAACACAGAGGGCCGCTGGGTAGGGGTGCCATTGATTGGCTATAGGGTCAGCCGGCACTCTAAGCCAATCAGTAGCTCCCCATTCATGAAAACGTAAAACATTTTTATGAATCGGGAACTAGCGATTGGCTTAGAGCGTCAGCTGACCACTCTAGCCAATCAGCGGCACCCATGCCTGACGTCAATCTGCACTTCCTGACACTCCGTTTAAGAAGCTGAATACCACTGAGCGACCTGGAGATCTGGAGCTGGAGGAAGCCTTTGGGGGTAAACCATTTGAGAGTGGTTTCACCCCTTAATGGAAAGAGAGCGCACAGAGGCCTCCTTGCATCATAGCATTTTCATTTAGTTGAAGTTGTTATGGTGACCAGAATGTTCCTTTAATTTGATTAAAGGAACACTATAGTGTCAGGAATACAAACCTATATTCCTGACACCATAGTTGTAAAAAAGCTATTCACCCTGGCTGAATGTGAAAATGACTATGCTCCTTCCCTTTCATGACACTGTCAAAAAGGGGCAAGCATGGATGTTATTACAATTATGCCCCCCCCGGAAAAATTCCTGCGGACGCCCATGGACATACCCCTTTTTAAATACCCCAGGTTGTCTGCTTTTTCAAATGGTATGTCATGGTGGGGTTTATTTTCATTTCTGGGCTACCATACGGTCTCAAAGGCAACATAGCCAATCTGGCAAATAGCAATTTCCAAATCACCATAAAACCTAGGCTTGAGGGATACTATTATACTCATGAGACATTACTCTACACAAATATGAGTGATTTCGAGCAGTAAGATGTACTATACTGATAATATCGGTGAAATGGCAGTTTATATGTGAAAAATGCAAAAAACTAATTTGGGCCAGCGTTTGTGACTAAGTGGCTACTAAAAAAGAGTGGACATACCCCATTTTCAATATCAGTTGTCTAGTTTTATAAATGGTATGCCATGATGGGGTTAATTTTCATTCCTGGGATGCTATACGGTCTCAAAGGCAACATAGGCCCAGCAAACCAATCTGGCAAATTTCAATGTGCAAACATGGAAAAGCCCTACATATGACCCCTGTATGTTTGCAAAAACCCATAAAACCTATACATTTTGGGGTACTGTTGCACTCAGGAGATGTGGCTGAACAGGTATTGGGGTGTTCTTTGTCAGTAACACATAACAGGAACTGAGAATCCATGTTTAAAGTACAATGTGAGTGGGGACAAAAAATGACTACCCAAAAGTTTGACAAAGACTGGTGGTAGAATTAGTGCATGAAAAGTGTTAAAATACCACCATTTGAAATACTCAAGGGTGTCTTCTTTTCAAAATTACATTGTTTGATTGGGGTAAATTACATTGGCCAGCTTTAAAAAATGTCCCAAATAAGACATGGGTGCATGATGACCATCTGTGAAAATTTCAAGTTGGAAAACTGGAATGCGCACCCTCCAAATAAGGTATTTTAGCCCCCAGAGAACCCGACACACCTATACATGGGGATGGGGGGGGGGGGTATCACTGAACTCAGGAGATATTGCTAAACAAATATTGGCATGTTTGTAACGGATCACCTGGCACCCCGACTGGGCACCTCCATTGACGGACGCTACCTAGCTGACGCCGATGACCATAAGCACCACACCGGACACCACAGCCACAGCAGACTCCACAACCGCCATAGCTTAACTAGAGTCTCAACGTCTTCCTTCCACCCTGGATCAACCCCTGTCCTCCAGGACCGTGTGGGAAAGACCTCTCCTCCAGGAGAGCGTATCAGGAACAAGTGATTAGAGCTCAGGGGAGTATACAAAGTGTAGCAATCCCCAGTGTAAATATAGCAATTCCCTACAATAACGAGAGGAGGCTACGTATTGAGGGTTAAGCAGATCAGAACAGAATGAACTGAGGCTTTATTGTTTCTTTTATACAAGTTTTCCCCCAAGGTTACCACCCATGTGGACCTTGTTGGACACCGAAAACACAAACTCAACAGCCAATAGGTTATAAAACACTCCTACAAACTCAATAGCCAATAGTTTAAAAAACACTCCTATTCATTACTGTAAATTCCTCCCCTCTGCTTGGGAGATAATTGAGTTAATTGCTGTATCAACTCAATTATCTTCAAATGAAAAATACACTTTTTACACATTTTTCATAACATTAAAATTAAACATCAAATTCCCATAAAACTTATATTTTTTGAATGGGCATAATTATGGGAACAAGATATTAAAAAATCATGCGAATCGGTTTAGTGGTTCGGGAGATAGATGGAAGTCACATTTGACCGACCGCAAGCATGGCTTTCCTGCCCAAATTAGTTTCACAGATTTAGGTTGTGCACCCGGTCTATTCACCATAGTTCAAATACTGTTCAAATGCATGAACGGGGGTCATTCATGCAAATAGGCAATGTTAATGTGGCGTTCGTATTGTCGAACACCGTTCGACTCCAGTTGAAGTTCCGGAAAAGCTAAAAGTTCAGCGGTGTTCGCGCCGTTGCATATCTGATTTTAGTTCCATGAACTCAATGGCAAAACACTGCTGACCGCGTTCGGCTAACCAAGATAGCCGCCGCCACGTGTTTGACTATACGAATGGCGAGCACCCAGCCGTTCGTCTATTAGCTTGCGGTTAACCACCAGCCTGGGAGGTAAATTGGCTGCACACTCCACTTGTGTGTGGTCCGGCTGTTCGTAGTTCGAAGTCCCACTTCGACCACATTGACAGTTTAAAGGGGCATTATGCCAAGTCTCAATATGCCCCAATAGTGTTCTTAAAGAGCAATACACCCAAGGGCCATAGTCACAGGGCAAGAGGCTGGCAAGCAGGCCTCTCCAAAAGCCAGTGTCCAAGAGTAGTTCGTCACAGTGTTCTTTGGCAGTAACCCTTAAAGTTCTCCATACATGTATTCTTAAATTGCCATGTATGTCAAAAAAATCCCCAATTATTTTTATTTTTTTAAATTTGACATAGATTGGTGATAAAATGGTTACATGAAAAGAGTCAATATACTCCAATTTTAATATCTTAGCTTGTTGTCTTTAAAAAATATATACATATGAAGGATTATTCAGGGATTACTGACATATCAATGTTACAATGTAACTTGCGTTTATTTTGAAAAGAAAAATGGTTTGGAAATAGCAAAGTGCTCCTTGTACTTATAGCCCTATAACTTTCCAAAAAAAAGATAAGAACAAAATTTAGAAACTATTTAGCATGGGTATTTTTTTAGCGGCTGTAGATACGTAACAGATTTTGTGGGTCAAAGTTAGAAAAGGTGTGTTTTTTTACATTTTTTTCATAATATTTTATTAAAACAAAAAATTATAGCAAATTATATGATATGATGAAAATAATGGTATCTTTAGAAAGACCATTTAAGGGCGAGAAAAACTGTATATAATACGTGTGGGTACAGTAAATGAGTAAGAGGAAAATTACAGCTAAACACAAACACCGCAGAAATGTAAAAAGAGCCTTAACGGTAAGAAAATTGAATAGTAAATATAGGGATTCTCCTCCTTTTGTCCCGTTTATGGGGATAAAAAATCAATTTTATATATTTTTGCATGTGGTGTGCAATTCTGGAGCTTTGGTGTGCTTTTGGTGACAAAAGATTGTGGAGCACTAGTCTATAAAATCCTATAGTCTTTCAGGTAAATCTTTGGCAGCAACATCATCCAATATAGTATCTGATAAACTGTCTATGAATGCCGAAATAGGTCCATTGGCAGTCTAGTCTAATCCACTTCAGTTGCAAAGGCACGAAATTGGATGGCAGAATCAGCAACGGACCAAGACTCTTGTTTAATCCTCATTACTACTTTGGCTGTATTCTTAACCCTGCCAGGAGTTTCAAAAGTCCTACAAAATGCCCTGAAAAAGACGTGGTGATTGTTAACCAAAGGTATATTAGCTTCCCATGGGAGATTAGCCTAATCTAGCGCCTGGTTAGTAAGCAGGTTCATGATATATGCTACTTTAGATCTATCTGTAGGAAAGGGAGACATTTTGAAATTAAATTATACTTGATTAATAAACCCTCTACAAGTCTTGGAATCACATCCATATTTAGGTGGAGAGGTCAGAGGCACAGAGGTGTTATTGTTAGATGCATTACAGGGGAAACTTGTGACCCAGGGAATAGGTAAGTCGTTCTGGATAGGAGTGTCTGAAGTGCCTGAGCATACTGATCCATACAGTGATCATGTTCCTGTAAACTTGCATCATAAGATACTAAACCTGCAGGGTCCACGGCCCTATCATTATTTCATGAAGAATAACCTCAACGTGCAGAGTCCAGGATAACAGTAACAGACAGGACTAAAATAGATATATTACCAGTCCTTAGAGTGGCCGGGTTTAACATACAATAGAGAGGAGACATAGTCAAATACAAGCCTAGGTCAGGATAACAGAGAGACAGAGAAAACAAGAACTAGCCAGAGTCAGGTAAACGTATATCAGAAGAACATGTAAACAAGTCAGAAAAGGGTTACAGATAAACTCAGGGTAAGGAACAAAGCCAAGGACAATATCAGAAATATCACAATGTAACAAATAATGCACAAAAGAGTACTGATAACAAAACCAGGATTTTTTAATTCTATTATGTGTGATTTGATAATACACCAAGCCAAGTAGGAAATTATGTTAGGTCCCCTGTGTGTCTTTAAGAAAATGCTCTGAATTAAAGCAGCATTCTCAATGCTGGGACTTGGGCCACTCCAATGGTTAGTTGGATCGGGAGGTCCCTGATCGGATTGAGGATTGTAAGTTTTGTTACATTAAGAAAATAAAAATAACCATTTTACGTATATGAAAATTTGTTCAATACTTGGCGCTTTCCAATAATTCAGAGTGCCATAGCCGATGCTCTTATTTACAGTTATTAAGAGAGTCTTAAAAATCACAAGGGAGCTTTTAGAGTCATCTGCACTCAATACTGGTCTAGACCATAATGTGCCCCCACCGGACCACCAGGGACCCTGCTCACCCTCCAACAGACCACTGGGGAAAGGCAAGTAAAGCACACACATAAACACTCAAACTCCCCTACACACACACACATACAAACACTACACTTACAACGTTATTTAAGAAAGTGAGAATTAAACGTGAATTTCAAATTGCAGGTCAGAATGGTCGAACTGGAAATATTCTCTTTTAGTTCAGCTACTTTGGCCTTTAATTGTATATTCCTTTGAATTCTCACTTTTTTTGTTAAAGGACCACTATAGGCACCCAGACCACTTCAGCTTAATGAAGTGGTCTGGGTGCCAGGTCCAGCTAGGATTAACCCTTTTTTCTATAAACATAGCAGTTTCTATATTAGGGTTAATCCAACCTCTAGTGGCTGTCTCTTGACAGCCGCTAGAGGCACTTGCGTGTTTCTAACTGTGAACGCCAGCGTCCATAGGAAAGCAATTGTAAATGCTTTCCTATGAGACTGGCTGAATGCGCGCGTGGCTCTTGCCGTGCATGCGCATTCAGCCGAAAAGGAGGAGAGCTCCCCACCCAGCGCTGGAGAAAGAGGTAAGTTTAACTCCTTCCTCACCATCCAGCCCGGTGGGAGGGGGACCCTGAGGGTTGGGGCACTCTCAGGACACTACAGAGCCAGGAAAACGATTATGTTTTCCTGGCACTAAAGTGGTCCTTTAAAATTCCTCCAGGCACAAAATGCAGCCACAACATACAATCATAAACAGTACCCAATGCTCCAGGATGGGGTCCCGGCCTGGCACTTACAGAGGGTCCTGTACAGAGTGGCCCACAAGTCCCTGGCCATCCATATATCTTATGTATCCAGAGTATCTGTGTGCCGGATGGGTAGGCACTAATGGCTCAGCCTGTACAATCTTAATTTGGCTCTGTACTAACCCCAGCCTCTCCAGCCATCTTAACAAGTACACCTGATGCTGCCCTCTTCCCCTGATACCTACACCCATGATTTTAGAAGTTAATAAAGAAATTTTGGGACAAAAAAAAAAAAAAAGTCAACTATTTTAACTGCTAAAAAATTTATTTATTTTCTAACGTACAGTTTGCCTCTAATATTCCTCATTATTGCACTATTCAGTTGGACCTGCACCATACAAGTACAGTATGACTTTGCCCTGTTACTATAACCTAACGTTGGGCCTTCTATTTGTCTGGTTCAGCCTTTCACCGAGTGACATGAGCAGTGTCTGTCACAAACCTAGCCGCCCAGGACCAGCAGCCACCTCGGCTAACCTCAAACTGCCCTAACCACAACACTGCTCTGACAGAAAACCGTTACAGCTGGCGGAACTGCGGGCAGCTACACCTGACTGGTCATCGTTACAATTAATGTCGGCCAATCACAAGCCATCTAGCCAACAGTCACAACACGCGCACGCCGGACACCCTCCAACCAATCAGGAGTGACAGAGTGTTGTGATTGATAGCCGTATTTCCCAATAGGATTAGAACATTTTCCACCACACACTTTAGCCCTGCTGTTTGGAAGAGTGGGCGGGTCTTCAGATGAGGAAGTGAATTTCATGAGGAAGACAACGAGAAGCGGCTACTTGGACCAATCAGCATACAGTGTTTGAGTGTAGCACCCTATCAGCATTCAGCCTGTCAGTGTAGTGTCCAATCAGCGAGCGTAGGTGGGCGGAGTCAGTCGCTGAGTGACTGTAGGCAGGAAGGTGCATGTTGATGTGTGAAGGGTGCAAAGATGGCGTTGTGTGTGCGCTTTGGGTTTAGTTTGACGGTGTCAGTCGTGCTCTTTGCTGTCACTTCAGCCTCGCTGGGCTTTCTCAACTTGGAGGAGCTGACCGAGATGAAGTACGGGATAGAGATCCTGTCAGAGCCGGTTATTAAAGGGCAGGTAAGTGAGACTTACTGGAGCAGCTGTTCGCTTATGACAGCAGTATCTTCATCGGATGCTGCACCTGAAACCTGAATTGTGTTACCATTAGCTTCATATTAATGTGGGAGTCTTACATAGCTATACATATTAAGAAACTGGGCACACCATCGATGGAAGAATAAATATATGTATTAAAAAAACAAAACATTTCGGGGCTTGACTAATTTGCATTGAATCTAGGAGCCAGCTAAAATAGGAGCCAGGTTTATTTATTTTATTTTTTTGAACAAAGTTTAAAGGGACATTCCAGGCACCCAGACCACTTCTGCCCATTGAAATGGTCTGGGTTCCAACTCCCACTACCCTTAACCATGTAAGTGTAATTATTGCAATTTTCATAAACTGCAATATTTACCTTGCAGGTTTAAAGGACCACTCTAGGCACCCAGACCACTTCAGCTTAATTAAGTGATCTGGGTGCCAGGTCCCTCTGGGATTAACTTTTTTTTTTAAATATAAACATAGCAGTTTAAGAGAAATTGCTATGTTTATAAATGGGTTAATCCAGCCTCTAAAGCCTCTAGTGGCTGTCTCATTGACAGCCGCTAGAGGCACTTGCGTGCTTCTCACTGTGAAAATCACAGTGAGAAGATGCAAGCGTCCATAGGAAAGCATTATGAATGCTTTCCTATGAGACCGGCTGAATGCGTGCGCAGTTCTTGCCGCGCATGCGCATTCAGCCGAAGAGGAGGACGAGAGCTCCCTGCCTGGCGCTGGAGAAAGGTAAGTTTAACCCCTTTCCTTGCCATCCAGCCCGGCGGGAGGGGGACCCTGAGGGTGGGGGCACCCTCAGGGCACTATAGTGGTCCTTTAAGTCCTCCTCTAATGGCTGTCTACTAGAGGGTACTTCCGTGTGTATAGCACACATTCCATGTGCTATAGCATCGCTGGACGTCCTCACGCGATGTAAGGACCTCCAGCATTGCGGAAATCCCCAAAGGAAAGCATTGAAAGCATTTTTCAATGCCCTCCTATGGGGAGGTCTAATGCGTGTGCGTGGCATTGCCGCGCATGCGCATTAGGTCTCCCCCCGCCAGCGGGGGAGGAGCATGGGTGGACCCTGAACCAGCGCCAAGGGATATCGGCGCTGGATACAGGTAAGTCACTGCAGGGGTTTTAACCCCTTCAGCAACTTGGTGTGAGAGGGAGAAGAGACCTGCAGCAAACCATTTTCCTGGCACTGGAGAGTCCCTTTAATTTTCAGTATTTATTTTTTTAAAGGGCTGCTATAGTCACCATAACCACTACAGGTTAATGTAGTGGTTCTGGTGTCTATAGATTTTCCCTGCAGGCTTTTCAATGTAAACGCTGCTCTTTCAGGGAAAAGGCAAGTTAATATTTATTTTACTTTAAGTCCACCCAGCCTCGCTACCTTAGCATTAGTGAGAATGCAGTCAAACTGAAGAGGGGGATGGCATAATTTTAGGTTCCTGTTTTTAGGATATCCAAAAACTCCAAACCATAATTGTGTTGGAAAGTGGAGGTGCAGAAATGAAGCCACAGTTTTAAAGATTATATAGCATACCTTTTTAATAGGAATAGAGGTTGAGAAGCTCACTACCTAGCTGCGGCCAATAAATAGCAAGTCAGTCTCATATTCACTCTGTGTTAGTGTTAAATGCTTGATTTGCTGTGCATTCTTTGTAAATACACATTTGAGTAGAATTTAAATTGTGCTTCATTTTGCTACCATAAGGTATGCATAAAATTGCTATTCTCAATGCAGTGCCAAAATGTTGTTGTGTTTTTTTTTTTGTTTTGTTTTTTTTTGCCAGGTGCACTTTATAAAGTTCCCTATTTAAATGAAAGTGTTGATGCATATACCACAATTTTTCTTTTTTCTTTTTTTTTTTTTTAATTATAGCTAACAGATGATTTTTAACATCTGAAAGGGACATTCTAAGCACCAAAAAACACTTCATAGATGCTGTTTGTTTTTTTCAGACTGTGTAAAACGTTGCCTTTTCTGAGAACGGATATTGTTTACCTATCTCTGAAACCACCCTTCTAGTGGCTTTCAGACTGCTAACATTTATAGACTCTTCCTAATTAGATAAAAAAGGAAGGATTTTGTGTTTGGCATCATCACCCACTCCATGGAGACCCAAAACATGTCCATTGCTTTCATAGCGAAGCACTGAACAGATTCACTGTTTCTCTGGGACAGTAATTTTTTAACATCCAAATGTTCCTTTGTTATATTATAGTTACTATTTTACAAGACAGTTTTTCCAATCCATATATTTTATGCCATTGGCAATCTAAGCCAATCTTAAAATCTGTGTATTACTGCTATTTCTAGCATTTGACAACTTTGTTTTGAGGGGGAAGGGGGTATTATTTCTGATAATTTTTTAAGTTCTCTGCTATATCTAGTTTAGATATTTGATTATTTACATTTCGTAGAATGTGGTATGTTCTATATTCTGTTACCAGCAAATCCACTGAACATTTGTGAGTAAATAATTTTAACAAATTGCTTACTCTGCTGAACTTTGACATCTTAAGGTGATACTTTAGGCTCTATAACCGTTTTATTGTATTAAACTAAAAGAATATCATGGAACTTTCATTGGAGTTCAGGGCCGGATTTACCATCTCTGATGCCCCAAGACCATTTTCCTCAGTGTGCCATAGGCAGTCTTATGTATGAAGCTTGGTGTATGTGATTGGATTAATGTAACTAGTTTTGGGTATGACTGTATGGTTATTGTGACTAGGTGGTTGGAGGCAAAAAGTGGGGGGGGTAGGTGAAATATGTGGCCAAGTGTGTGTGAAACTGACTTTTTTTTCTCAGGGAACATAATCAGATATTAGTATGTGACTGGCAATGTGTATTTAGGGTTATATTTGGCTGGAGCTTTAGTGAGTGAATGTGAATGAAAGGTGTAGAGTGCTAGTGTATAAATATAGCGTTGTCTTTACAGAGTGCAAGTGTTTGCATGCAGAAGGGGAAAGAGCTATTCTTTCTCACCTGTGCACTCATGATGTTTCCCCAAAGATACAGAGACCAGCATTGCCACGCCACTCCTGGGTGCCACCTTGAGGCTATGATCTTGGCGGACTTATTTAAAATCTAGCCCTGTTTGGGCTCCTACTTGCGGTATGACTAAGACTGCGGTTACATAGTTCCTTCTAGCCATACTAAATCAATCCAGCAATGGTCATTGTGATAAACTGTAAACAGCTGAAAGGCTCAGCTAATTACAGCCACTCATTGCTACCCAGGCTAATACTTCATCATCATCCTAAGCAGTACAGAGGGTACGAGCTGCTGGCGACTCACATTTACCATTAAAAACTGTTTAACGCTAAAAAGAAGGCTGGAACCGGTGGACTTCTGAAACTGTAATCAGTCCCTTTGTCATATTCTTTTCTTGTGACGTAGGTGGATTTTGTGTGCCTGCTTGTCTGTCCCCTTTCCCCTCCTTCTTGAATGAACCTTGTGGGCACAATTTGAGATGGTTATGATGCCAGATAATCCCTGGCACTGGCTAACTTTTAGCGTTAAATTTTTTCTTGTTCTAGCTTTGGATCTCTCTGCCCCTTTGTCTTTCTGCTTGCTGAAATGCTTTAAAATTGAAATATATAGGGCTACTGTGGGCAAGTGGATGGACAGTGAGATCTGGCACTGGAACACAGTGCCCAAACTAGACCTTTGATTTTTAAGGATACATCTACCTCTAATGTTCTATTTGTTCTTCCCTTTTTTATTTATTTATTTTTTTATCTAACCTAAACAATAATTGTATTAAAATCTGAAAGTAAATGGCTGAATAATACGCATTTAAAAAAGCTAGTTAGTCATCACATATGTTTAACATGCATTTGTTCCAGTGATTTTACTAATAAATGCACATTATACCAGCTTATGAATATTCTTTTTAAAAAAACAAACAAACAAAAAACCCAAACAAACAAGAAAAACAGAGAACCCGACAGATCCACCAGTGCGGTCTAAGGGCTTAACCCTAGTAGTTGATGATAAAAGAAATGTGGACTAGTCCATATGAATAGGATGGTCCTGCCTTGTGGTAAATTGATCCATGCATATATCATATCATTAGGGCTTTACAGTATAACTAAAGAGGACATTCAGTGACACTATTATCCTGTTCAAAGGAAAGAAACTAGCACTGTGTGTGAGTAATAAAATGGAACAATTAATGAAGAAGCTCACTCAAGCTTTTATCACCAACTGTAGATACACTGGCTTTTGAGAAGTAAAGACAGGGGTGGAGATGGGATATGTACAAAGGTATAATAATGCCGAAATAAATTAATGAAGGTCTTTGTCATAATTTTAAAATAGTCACTGAACGTTCATCGGGGGACCCTGAGTATTGAGGCAAGTAGACACATATGCTATTCCAGATTTATTATTATTGTAAATTTTAACATTAATCGTTAGAGTGCTGCATCAATTGGTTTTTGGTTATGTTTATTTTTTTTCTTACAAGACCTACAAAAAGCTTTTGAAAATTGTCATTAAAGAATTTCACAAGACTTTGTCTTAGAAATAGTTTTCAAAAGCATCAGAGATAAAAATGCATTTGTTGGAAAATACTATGTAATGAAACATTACTCCAGGTCTTTATGTAATATAACATTATAACATAACACTTTAAGGAACACAAAAGCACCATAACTACTACAGCATTTTATCTGTGAGGGGACTTTTATTATTTGTGTGTGAATTTATACTATATATTGCATTTATGTTCTACAATATGCCTATCTTTTTTGTGAATATAGAGCAAGTCGGACAACATAGTGACAATCTCCTCCAAATACAAGCAGAATTATGAATGCAAGCTTCCAGCTATTGCTGTGAAATTTCACCAAGACAAAGATGAAGAGCAGGCATACTTGGGACTTGGCATATCTGATCTACTCAAGCCCATGGAGGCAGCACCATGTCTCATCAAGGTAACTTTTCAACACTGGACCCTAAATAACTTATCTTTGCAGCATTTTACATAAAGCATTTACTTTAAGATAAATACACTATATATGCTTTTTATTAGCATTGACATTTGGCTTTTTCAGTACCATTGATGGCACGTTTGCTTGTCATGCTTCTTGTCTAGCAGGATTGTCTCTTTTTATGGAGTAGTATGCATTCATTTATTTTTTTTAATGGCAGTTCTTGCTTTTTGTATCCCATGTCACACATCTCTTTCAAATATGTTATTTCAGGAACACTGCACTCACTATAACAAACTTCATCTTATTTATGTTGTTCTAGTACCTACAGTAGTTCCTATTCTCCTTGAACTGGCCTTTTTTTTTGTTTAATAATAGGAGGGTTTGTAAGCACAGTTAAAGTTATGCCTCCAAGCACTCTGGATAGAAGAGCTTGTGCTATTACCCTAGTAGTGCTGTCACAGCTTGCCATAGAAAATTATTGCATTCGATGATTCTCTATGACAAGAGACTCATACGACCATTGTGGCAAGCACCTGTAAGAGAATTAATATTGTAGCGGAGCTCCCTGTACCCTGGTTGGTACACTCCCTCCCAGGAATCTCTGGAATTGGGAGATATTTGCGTTAAAGACCGGTAAGCCAATTATCTCCCAGAAACAGAGAGCCAAACACAAATATAAAACCACCAAAAACATAAAATAACACCACAAATGGGGACGGGACCTGACTGCCATGCCGGGCAGACGTGTCTTGCATGAGCTCCGGACTTTTAGGCACTAAATTGAAGTTTTAGGTCTACAAACTCGACGAAAAAGCAACTCACTACGACATCAAACCTCTCTAGCTCAATATAAGCGACAGTAACTTACCTTGTTCAGACACGCTCCCAGAGAGCAGATTAATCGATTTGTGGCCTGGTGTCCCCTGGACCATCCAGTAAGCCGTTGAAATCACCTTCCAGAGACCCGTTTTCCCCACATCTGGACCAGTGGGAGATATCCCGGTCCAGGAGGCATCCCTGCTGAGACAGGCCTCACTGTACTGCGGCCTCCCAAGGTAGAAAACACAGTGACCTACCCAAGATGGCTGACGCCATGTGCGCAGCAGAGCCTAGCATTACGGCCTCGCAAGCAACAATGCTAGACAAAATGCGGACTTCTGGGCAAAATTAAACTGCCGACTGCAAGCACCTTCCTCGCAGAAGCCGGACGTTAACACCACACAAGCGGACCCCGAGCACTCTGCCCCCTCCAGTGGTTCTGGCTCCAGGTCAACGGCCCCTCAACAACTCACTCACGCAGAGAGGCAGACAAGAAGGTGCACCAGGATTTTGCCCACCCACCGTCTGCGTACACAACAGCACTCCTGCCACCCGGACGAGAAAAGCAGCCACCCGATGCTGGGCAAGAGAACGCACCACTACCGTAAGCGCTCCCCTCTCTTTCCCACCTGGTGAAGGGACACTGACGGCACCAGGCTTTGTATGCTGACCCCCAATGGGGCTCAAAGGCCAGCTGAACTTTCCTACATATGCTCCACACTTGCTGCTGACCGGAATCGGATGACCGCAGTGCTGAGCCCACAACCTGAGAAGCCTCCTGGTGGTGGCGGATGCTGCACAACGAGATACACCTGATATTAGAGATGTCATATAATGCTTAAACCATTTGTTTTACAACGTATCCTGATGTTTCTCTCTGTTTTCCTTTCTGACTTTTACCTGCCTATAAGCTTTCTCTCTTACTGGGTTTTTCAGAATACAGCAGGGAGCCTTCATATAAAGCCCTGATTGATTACCATCGATCACTTTCATTTAGCCCTCAAGCTAAGGTACTAAGCTAAGTGTAATTAATTCAGTTTCTCCTCTGACTCTCTCATTGCTCTTACGTATTCAATCAAAATGTGATGTTCTAGTCTGACCTTAATTCTCACATAATTTAAAATTGTGCTGTCAATCAGTATGCCATACTAATGTTCACCGTTGTTTTTTTTTCTGAGACTTGTTATAGCTGTTGTGGCTTTACAAGAGTGAAGTTATTTCCAGTACAACAAAAATAATAAAAAAAAAAATACATCATATATCTTTAATCCTGATCTGAGTGCCCAAGTTCTTCAAATAGCGCTCAGATCCATGCAGTGTAGGAGAAACGCCACCATGTTAAAGTTCTGACTGGCTGCACATGTGGTCTTATGCCGTTTGGTGTTTTTGCTGGTCAACTTTCGGCAGCTCCTGCGGCCTCAATTCAGGGTGCTGCATTTGTTCCCCTTAGTCTCAGGCACCTTCCCTCCAAAAAAGCGCTCTCCTGGCGGATTTCATAAGTGGTTCAAAACCGCAAACTAAGTTGTTCGGGAACCACACTTGTCACCTCATGCCAAAAACCGTTCCATAACATACATGACTAAGTCCCGCTGAGGTGATCGGGAACCCATTAAGTCCTCATGCTGAAATTAGTTCCGTAACGGCTAAGTACCGCTGAGGATTATTCATGAGAGCTCGCATTCGTTTCTATTCGCGTGAAGGGAAAGTGCGGAACATGGGGCACCCAGGGAAAGCTACTACTGGCGGCTGGGTTAGATAGCTCCCAAACAGTGTCCCAAACCTGGACCATAGTCAGTGGGCAGGAGGCTGGCTTCCACACTCCTTCAGGAGTCCGTGGCAAGGAGTGTTTGTCACAGATATATTGTGTGGCATCTGGCGAGGAGGGGGCCTGCAATTACTAGGGTCAGTGGATCTATAGCATTAGGAATACAGATTTGTACTTCTAAAGATACAGTGTTCCTTTAAAGGTACACTATATAGTCACCAAAACAACTTTAGCTTAATGAAGCAGTTTTGGTGTATAGATCATACTCCTGCAGTCTCACTGCTCAATTCTTTGACATTTAGGAGTTGTCACTTTGTTTATGCAGCCGCAGGCACACCTCTCTGCATGTGACTTACACAGCCTTCCTAGACCCTTCCTGTAAAGAGCCATCTAATGTCTACACTTCCTTTATTGCAAATTCTGTTTAATTTAGAATTTCCTGTCTCATGCTCTCTTACTAGCTTGCTAGACCCTGCAGGACCCTCCATTAAGTAATTAAAGTTCAAATTACAGAGCAGGAGTTACAAACTTTCAAAGCAAGTTTCCTCTTATTGAAAATGAAACCATTTTGTTTTCATGTAGACTGTCCGTCACAGCCAGGGGAAGTGTGGCTAGGCCTTCATGGACTAAAACAAGCTATTTAACCTCTAAATGGCAGAGAATTAAGCAGTGAGACTTAAGAGCCGTGAGCAGTGGTGTATTTTGGTTTTGTGCTGCATGACAAAACTCGAGCACTTCCTTTTTAAAACCAACACGCTTTTTTCCTGACAGACACACTCTCACTGATGCATACACTCACTGATTTTGGGGCCCATGACACAGCTCAAGTTCTGGGCCACCAGGGACCGCCCCTGAGTCCGCCCACAGGGCCCATCCTAAGTCTGCCCACAAGGATGAATTGTGTGTGTGTGGTGGATGTTGAATGTGTAAAATGGACGCGGTGTGCGTGTCATGGATGCAGATTGTACGTTTGTGTGTATTAGTGAGTGTGTGCGTTTTGTTGTTGGAGCTTCATACTGTGAGGGGGGGGAGCATATTTGTTGTCAATTTATTTCCCTTCCCCCCCGCCCCCGCATCTTACCTGTGGCCAGGAAGGGGGGAGCGATCACATTCCCTGGTGGTCCGGTGGCATGGTGCGGGCCCTTGGCTGCCTGTACACCACAGGGAGCCCAGCACACTCCATCTCCACTTCCTTGCTGCTCTTCTCTCTTAGTCTTGTGAGCTGCGTGGAACTTTGCCATGGTAACCCATGGTAAAGCTTGGAAGGCTCGCAAGCCTAGGCGAGAGAAGAGCAGCTAGGAAGTGGAGATGGAGTGTGCTGGGCTCCCTGCAGTGTACAGGCAGCCAAGGGCCTGTGGGGAGTGCGGGGAGTGTGTGTGTGTGTGTGTGTGTGTGTGTGTGTGTGTTTGTCATGCCCTGATGGCGGCCCTGCTGACTCACACACTCACAGACTGACGCACTATAAATAAGAATCACATATACACTCGGTGTCATACACCCACCCAATTTAATTTTTTTTATTTTTTATTTTACTCCACCCAGCCTCCCTACCTTTGGGACTGCTGGCATGGAGTTTCTATGTCACTGGGTCCAGTGGGGCTGCTAAGCGGCTGGGTGTGCGGTCAATGCAAGCTTGTGAGGGAGCTCTGATCTCCCTGCCCAGCTCACTTGCGTGCCTCTCAGTAATGTCATGCTACGGCATCATTGCGGTGCGCAGGGGAGCTGAGCAGGAAGAGCTCAGGGGAGTGTGCTCCCTCACCGCCAGCCTCTGGAATAGGGCCCAATGTGGGCAGCCGGCCAGCTCCTTAGTCCTCCAGGAAAAGAGGCTGACAAGGCATCTGCCAGGGCGTTTGAGGGGGGTGGCTTTTTTTGCAGCCCCCCCGAAAGCGTCGCCCAAGGCAAATGCCTGGTCAGCCTTGCGCTGCCCATGAGCTATACACTAAAACTGCTTCATTAAGCTAAAGTTGTTTTCCCTACTATAGTGTTTCTTTAAGATTAGTTTTATTAGTGTTCTGGTGTGTTTTACACACATGCACTTCAGCATCGCTGTGAGTTATTACCCCAATGTGTGCTATCGCAACAAAAAATGTTGTTCTGTTACATAACACATGTCTCTCTTTGCCAGGGTTTGTGATGTTATCGGTACAGTGTAGCAAAATGTGGTCATAATAGTTTAAGTAAACCATGAGTGATTGTGAATAAAATCTCAACTCTCAATACAATTTTGGTTATTTTGGCCTGAGATGATTACCCTTCAATTCTCCTTGTTTGATTTGAAGGGATAACTCAACTTAAAAATAAAATTAATTTGGTGGTTGAAGCCAAAGAAAATATGCATGTAACTTTTTTTTTTTATTTTTTTTTTGTGGTTTTATTTTTGAGAGAGATGAAATCTTGGATTGACCACAGATCTAGTATCTGCAGCCTTTGGAAACCCTTCCCTTCTTACCTAGCACATACTTTATGTGGCTGTTTCTGAATAAATTCTGGTACAGAAATGTTGTACTAGTTGCCCTAGTTTAAAGTCTACAAGCTCTGTGAAATGAAAAGGAGTTATGCCATTCAGTTAAATGGCACATTTAGAGATGTGTACTACTTGAACCATAGTCTCCTTTTTTGAAAGTTTACAGGTCATAAAATACAAGGACTAAAATAAAATTTCAATTTGCAACAATTTCAGAAGTTGGTATGTTTGTCTTGTAGGTTTAATAACCATCACCGAAAAAAAACAAATCCACAATCTTGGTAAATTTAGAATATTGTGAAAAGGTGCAATATTCTAGGCTCACAGTGTCCCACTCTAATCAGCTAAGTAAGCCATAACACCTGCAAAGGGTTTCTGAGCCTTTTAAATGGTCTCAGTATGAATCACAATCATGGGGAAGACTGCTGACCTGACAGTTGTGCAGAAAACCATCATTGACATAAGGAGGGAAAGCCTCAAAAGTAAAATTGCGAAGGAAGTTGAATGTTCCCAAAGTGCTGTATCAAAACACGTTAATAGAAAGTTATGTGGAAGAAAAAGGTGCACAAGCAGCAGGGATGACCGCAGCCTGGAGAGGATTGTCAGGAAAAGGCCATTCAAAAGTGTTGGGGACTTTCACAAGAAGTGGACTGAGGCTGGAGTCAGTGCATCAAGAGCCATCACACACAGACGGATCCTGGACATGGGCTTCAGATGTCGTATTCCTCTTGTGAAGCCGCTCCTGAACAACAAACAATGTCAGAAGCGTCTTACCTGGGCAGTTGCTCAGTGGTCCAAAGTCCTCTTTTCTGATGAGAGCAACTTTTGCATCTCATTTGGAAACCAAGGACCCAGAGTCTGGAGGAAGAATGGAGAGGCACACACTGCAAGATGCTTGAAGTTCAGTGTGAAGTTTCCACAGTCTTTGTTGATTTGGGGAGCCATGTCATCTGCTGGTGTTGGCCCACTGTGCTTCATTAAGTCCAGGGTCAACGCAGCCGTCTACCAGGAGATTTTGGAGCACTTCATGCTTCCTTCCGCAGACGAGCTTTATGGGATGCTGACTTCATTTTCCAGCAGGACTTGGCACCTGCCCACACTGCCAAAAGCACCAAAGCCTGGTTCAATGACCATGGGATTACTGTGCTTGATTGGCCAGCAAACTCGCCTGACCTGAACCCCATAGAGAATCTATGGGGCATTGCCAAGAGAAAGATGAGAGACATGAGACCGAACAATGCAGAATAGCTGAAGGCCGCTATTGAAGCATCCTGGTCTTCCATAACACCTCAGCAGTGCCACAGGCTGGTAGCTTCCATGCCACGCCGCATTGAGGCACTAATTGCTGCAAAAGGGACCCAAACCAAGTACTGAGTCAATATGCATGCTTATACTTTTCAGAGGTCCGATTTTGTTCTATGTACACTCCTTGTTTTATTGATTGCATGTAATATTCTAATTTACTGAGATTGTGGATTTGGGGTTTTCATGAGCTGTGAGCCATAATCATCACACTTATGACAAATCACGACTTGAACTATCTTGCTTTGCATGTAATGCATCTATCTCATATATTAGTTTCCCCTTTTACATTGCATTACTGAAATAAATGAACTTTTGCATGATTATTCTAATTTTTCGAGTATCACCTGTATAGCTGTTTGACTGTTCAAATAACACCACAAAGGGCTTCCATTTGATAAAGCAGACACCCCAGGGTATCTAATATGGTGTATATTTTGCCTTAACTTGTCACCCTTTTTTTTCATTAATTTATTTCAATGTTTGTGATGAGGGGGGAAAAATTGATTTTTACATACATGTTGCATTTTTGCAGACTATTTTTATTTTTTTATTTTTACACTTAATATGACCACTGTCAATAAAAAGAAGAAAAAAAAAAATTATACTCCGTTACATCTACTCTGTAAAACTATATTTATTTATAAAATATTTTACCAGGAAAGATAAATTGAGATCTCTCTCTCGTTTTCAAGTATGTCCTAGGTCCACAAAACATTGCATTTTGCAATACAACAGGGTGCAGTAAAATACATAAACCATATATACACAATTTAACATTGACCAGCTAGGAAATATATAATCAACCGTGACAGGTGCATTCTGTTTTGAGGTATGTAGAGTGGGATCTCAAGGACTTTAGGCTTGGTGAAGATTTGAAAGTGTGCGGGAGGTCGTTCCGTAATTGCGGCGCTCAGTAGAAAAAGGAGGATCGGGCTGCTTTCTTTTTATATTGAGGTAAACTAAATAAAGTACTGGATCGGAGGTTATAGGAGGTGGGAACAGCCGGGAAGAACAGTCTGCTCAGGTAGGGTGGGAGCTTTCCCGAAAAGCTCTTAAACACAAGGTTGGGAAGATGAAGGGTGTGTCTGTATTCCAGTCAACAGCCAGTTTAGTTATTTTAGCATGTAACAATGGTGGGTCCTGTAATTACATTGTAGCACAAATAGGCAGAACAAGTTATACAATGTATTGAGTTTATTAAGGTGGGTTTGCGGTGCTGGTGCATATACTACATCCCCATAATCAATGATTGGCATCAGCATTTGCTGTACTATCTTTTCCTTTACTGTAGGGCTTAGGCAGGATTTGTTTCTGTACAGGGCACCTAATTTTGGATAAAGTTTAGATGCAAGTTTTTCTATGTGGAGGCCAAAAGATAGATTGTGGTCTAACAACATACTCAAGTATTTAAAAAAAAAAAAAAAGTGGACTGCGGTCAGTGTGCTATTTGAATTTTTGATGGATAGGTGGGAATTGTGTAATTTAGGTACTGTTCCAAAGATCATTGTGACCGTTTTGTCAGTGTTTAGGAAGAGTTTGTTTTTTGCGATCCACTTTTCTACATCTGTAAAGTCTGTAAATATGACCTAGACGCTATTTTGTGTTTCAGTGCTGTAAAAGAGACGTGACAAGTTTTAGGTTTTTTAGTGGGAATTTTCATGGAGGGTTTTGATGCGTCAGTGTCCCACTTTGGAGCACCTGAGCAGGCTACATATTCCAGCTACACCATAAAGGCATACCATTTCTTAAAGAAGACATCCCAGGGTATTTCAAAAGGCATATTTTGAACCTTCGCGTGGCATCATTTTTTCCAGGTATAGCGGTAGGCATTTGTAGGTGTGGGCATTTTTAATGTGTGTGTGTGTGTTTTTTTTTTTTTCCTGTTAATCCATAACTAGCAATAAGCTGCGGCACTAACCGTAAATTCTCAGATTTCCCATAATTCCATCCCCAGCTAGCATAATATATAATTTAAAAAAATGTAAAGTAAATAAATTGAACCCCTGAAGGTTAAAAAAAAAAAAAATTTAAAAATCAGATCACCGTATAATATTGTGATCTGTATTTTGATCACTGTAGGCAGTGATCAATTGACAGGGAAGGGGTTAATTTTTATTAGGACTGGGTAAAGGGAGGGTGGGATTTTAAACTAGCTTTATTTTTTTTTCACACAGGAAGAAGATCCCTGCACTTCACACAGAATGCCGAAGCACAGGGAGGCGAATCAGAAGTCCCTGCAGCACATGTGCTCGCTCTGACAGGCTGTCTCAGCGATCACAGCTGCAGGGACAGCGCGATCGGGTGCTCACAGTCTGCCTCGAATACCGAGGCAGATCGGAGGAGCGTTAATGCCGCTATCTGAGGTTAACTTTTTAGTAAATGATGGTAATTTTCAGTCATGCGTCCTTAACGGTAGGTCTCCCTTGATGGGAAAATCTCCGTCAAGCGGTTAACCCATGAACATGGTCTGGAAGCAGGTCATGACATGTTCATTTGCGTGGCTCAAGGAACGCAGCATTCTTTTCAAATTTATTTTTATTAAGGTTTTAACATTTTACAACAAAAAAATGAGTAGTAAAATGTATTCTATATTCTTGTCATAGTTTGAGTAGGTGAGGTTGCCACAAATGAGGCTATTTTTCCATTTAGAGTTGCTTCCTACATCACAGCCTGATCACATGCATATGGTTTCGTTTTCCAACTTGTTATTTATTTCACCCATTTTAATATATTTTTTTTTTTTTCCTTAGACTAAAGATTGGTGGACATATGAGTTTTGTTATGGAAAACATATACAACAATACCACATTGAAGGTAGGTCTCAGAAGCAGAATCTCCTGTCACATTCTTGGTTCTTTCTTAGCTTTACTGTATAATCTACTAATACCGACTTTCTGTTGGCATGTGTCACCCATATCATATATTTTTATTTTTATTATTTTTTTCATTTAGAATCTGAGTTGAAGGGTGATATTTTATACCTTGGATATTATCAATCTGAGTTTGACTGGAACAATGAGACTGCGAAGGTATGCAATATCTGAAATACAATCTTTTTTTACCTAATATTTGGTTAAATTAGTCAAACATGTTAAAAATACAATATTTGAATATATCGCATGAATTTGTTCTTTGTAAAAGTAGCAACTTTTTACTTGCGGAGTGCTGGGGGGGAGGCGGGGGAAGCTCAACAGAGACCTGAGTGGAAGGTGATAATGTAGTAATAGGTCAACTATTTAAAGATATTCATTACTTTCTCGTCAGACCCTTTTAAATTTTTTTTTTTTTATTACTGAAGCTATAACTACTGTAGGTCATCAAGCAATTTGCGATTACACACTATTTTGGTTTGAGTAACAAGAAGAAAACAAAAGGCTGGACCATCTGTCTTTGGTGATCATATGATCATCCACTCAGACTGAAAAACTTATTCTCAGTAGAACACTCTGGTTGGTTGACTTATCTTGACTTTCCATTGAATGGGAAAGGTGGAAGACCATGTTAAGTCCACCTCCCTTGTATATTTTATAGTAGCGCCCACCCTATATGGTTAGTAGCACCACCTGCTGACAACTGGTGGGCATAGCAATGGCATTAGTATGTCCCCACCCCTTCCCATTTTCATTTAGTGATATATCCACCTCATCCCTCCCCCAAATCACCATATGGCAAATTTTAGTGAATTACCGGTCAGTCTGAGCTGTTCCTTTTATTGAATGCTGTGTACTGCAACTTTCACAAAACTACAAATGAGACAGTCAGTTAGCTAATAGTTCACATATTCAGCTGTTCCATCAGATCTTAAAAGTGGAAGTCAGGAGCAGCTTATTCTTATCCTATGGATCTCGTCTTATTTCATAAACCACTTCACATGGTTTACAGTATAAGTTCATCCCCAAATAGCAGTTATGATAAAGGGTACTGCTCTAAAACGAACACTGCAACTGCTGTAAATATTCACAGAACCTGTTCACTATTAAACATCTCTGGCAGGAGACAGCTCTTTCCAAGTTCTACATACAGATTTTACAGAGATAAAGAAGATCTCAATGTTTGAGTTTTGGTTTAAAGATGATAGAAGTAGAGGCCAATTAATGGCTGTGAAATCATCAATTATTTTATTTTTTATACATAATTTTTTTTGTGCATTATAGCAGTTAGACATATTTGCGATACCACAACAGCATATTCAAATAATATAATGGCAGAGATTATGTGTGACATACTATTAAAATGTGCATTGTTTTTCTAATCTAAAAATATTAACTAGTTAGACATGTCAAACTAGTATGTGAACGTACGTTTAAACAAGCTAGGTCTAAACACAGTCATGGATTATTTAGTGTATTTAAGCAAAATATATTGGGACCCAAAAAGGCTTAGGTAAAAAGTGGCAGAGAGCAACCTCCCATGTAGTGGCCTAATGCCCTGATAATCGCCGAAACATTCAGCCCACACCCTGTATTGGCAGTGCATAGTCCCATGGAGTAGGCTGAGGTCTACTAGCCTTCTGCTCGAGGTCCTGCAAGGCTCCTTGCTTTCTCCCATGACGTGGCTTCTATAGAGCCAATCCAGCTGGGATAGATCTGGTTCGAGGACTTGATCTTCTGCCACTGGTGCTATGTTGTACCCAACATGGTTGGGTAGCGTGCCGATGCAGAGGTGTGCGGGGTAGCTGAGGATAGGGGACATTAACTGTGAATCGAGTAGGCTTACTCTGTGCTGCATGGAACAAAAGCTTTCTACCTGGAGCTAGGCCAGCTCTGGGTGCAATAGGCACAATGTCTTGCATGGCTTGTGCATCTGGTATTCTCTTGAGCGTATCGCTGGGAGTCGGCGTATGTGTGGAAATATCTTCAAAAATGCTCCAGAACTGTTAAACGCTGTTGGAGAAAGTCTCGCTGCGCTCATACAGCTTGGTTCTTTCCTCTGCAAAAGTAAATTACTTTAATACCCTCATAACCACACTCTCCTGTGAACCCAAATGAATTTCACACATTTAACTCTCTTCTTCGCCCTAGTGTTCCTCCTCCACCTACTAACTTGACCACCTCAGACTTTGCAACTCACTTCACTGATAAGATCTCTACAATCAGGGAAGAGATCTCTCATCTTTCTTCTTCCCCTTACAATACTTCCCCTAACCTCACTCCCTCTGCTGTTCTATGTTCATTTGCACCCGCTACAGCGGAAGAGGTTTCTGCTCTGCTTCAGTCCTCCCGCCCCACCACTTGCTCCCTAGATCCAATTCCCTCGCATCTCATCCGTACTCTGTCTTCTTCTCTTTCTCTACCTCTCACTAAAATTCTCAATCTCTCTCCTCTGGCATATTCCATCGCTCTTCAAACATGCAACTGTAACCCCAATTCTACAGAAGCCCAACCTTGACCCATCTAACTACTGTCCTATATCGCTACTGCCTTTTGCATCCAAGATCCTTGAAAGAGTTGTGTATGCAAGATTGACAGACTTCCTCGAGTCCAATTCTCTGCTAGACCTGCTTCAGTCTGGTTCCCGCGCTAAGCACTCTGTAGAAACGGCACTGACCAAAGTATCCAATGATCTACTCGCTGCAACACCTTGTGGTCACTACTCTATCCTAATTCTCCTTGACCTCTCTGCGGTTTTTGACACTGTTGATAATCAACAGCTTCTTTTCATCCTCCGCAATATCGGTCTACAAGATATTGCTCTCTCCTGGTGCTCCTCCTACCTCTGCCAGCACTCTTTCAGTGTTTCTTTCTCTGGCTATACTTCTTCCCAACTCCTTTCTGTTGGTGTCCCCCAAGGTTCAGTCCTTGGTCCCCTCCTGTTCTCCATCTATACTGCCTCCCTTGGTAAACTCATTAGCTACCCTCCATCTAATTATTTTTAATTTCAAATACTGTTCTGCATAGGGCTCCACTTGCAACATTACAATGGTACAGATTGCATAGGACTGAGGATATGAAATCAGTAGAAGAATGTCATTACTTTTTTTACGTCACTGAAAACTATAACTGTATATTCAATATTCAATTTTTATTTTCCAGGCTTCAAAGCATCACAGATTAAAGCGTTATCATAGTCAGCTATATGTTAATGGTTCCAAATGTGATCTGAATGGAAAGTCCAGGGAAACTGAAGTTAGGGTAAGTACTTGTATATGACTTTTGAAAGATTAGGAATCGCCAAGGTGGCACGGGCAAAGCTGGCCATCCCAATCAGCATCTTCTCAAAGAGATGTATTGAATCAAATTTCAGCGTCTCCATGCACAGTTGTTCTGGTGTCTATAGTACTGTGGCACTGTTTGTATACCGTATGTACTCCTTCTCAATATAAATGTATAGTGTTTTTTTGTTTTTTTTAATATCCCCCTTATAGTTCATGTGTGAAGAAGGCTCTGGTGATTATATAGCACGTGTTGATGAACCACAGTCTTGCACTTATGTCCTCACTGTGCACACCACCCGCATTTGCCATCATCCTTTTCTTCGCATGCCTTCCACTGGAATACCTCAGTCCATAAGGTGCCATCCAGCCCTCACCCCAGAACAATATGTTGAATATGTGAAGGCTCAAGTCTGTAAGTGAACTAAATATTTCTAGCTTATTATTTCTCCTGTCTTGCTGTAGTTTTTAAAAACCTTGTATTGTGAGCGTTTGGAAACTGAAATGATGTACATACATAGTGGCAATTTTATGAGTGTGCAGCAATTGCTGGTTGTATTTACTTGTTAATGTGACTTACATATAAGTATTGGGTTAAAATAGGCTTTTCTTTGTTTCGACCACGTACAGAAGACGACAAAGGAAAATTATTGAAACCTGTTTAGGCATACAACCGCAAAGGATACTAAAGGTTTTCATTGTATTGTAGTCTACATTTTAAAAAGATGTAAGTTGGCCTAGCTTAAAGCGGCACTGTCATGCCGAACTTACCTTTACCCAATCGATTCCTCTTCTTTCGCTCTCTCAGGATCTGTTCTTGATTTCTTTCTGTCTGCTCTAGTTTTCTTTAAAACATAAGACAAAGTAGGGACTACTTGACTTATGGAGGTTTCCTACGCTTGACCGTCTCTGACCAGCGGAGCAGCAAAGTGTGCTTCATTTTCTGGTGGAAACTCCGATCCTACTCGTCTCGTGGCTGCATCTTGCAGCGGCTTAGTAGATAGCTCCCTTATTCCCACGGTATCAGGGAGCCATCTACCAAAAGGCTGAAAGACCTAAATTGGTCTTTCAGCCAAATTTACTAATACTAAGTAAAGATTACTTAGTATTAGTAAATGCTGCACCTACTCATTACGCCGTGAGTCAGGGCATGTCTACTAAACAGTGAGCAGCCTGTGACTGCTCACTGTTTAAAAAAAAAAAAAAAAATATATATATATATATATATATATATATATATATCTCTATCTCTATCTCTATCTCTATATATCTATATCACCCCCCACCTGTGTCATGCGAGTGGGGGCTATTAACCAACCAATCAGAGCGCTCTGAGACTAATTGCAGGGCGTGGGAAGGCTTTATAAGCCTGCCGCTCAGGGTTGGGGGCTGAGGGGAGCACAATAGGTCCCGTCCCCCCACATTATCATTTAATGCACCCACCCGCCATTAAGGGGAGGAGGGGAGCGTTAGGTCCCCCCCCTTCAGACTAAAAGCCCCCACGCGTGGCTTGGGAGGGGGATTTAAAAAAAATATATTTATTTTTTTAACAGTGAGCTGCTACAGGTTGCTCACTGTTTACTTGACATGCCCCTTCTCGCGGTATAGCGAGTAGGGTCAGAATTTACTAATACTAAGTAATCTTTTAACCTTTACTTAGTATTAGTAAATTTGGCTGAAAGACCAATTACATTTTTCAGCCTTTTGGTAGATAGCTCCCAAATACCGTGGAAATTAGGGAGTGATCTACTAAGCGGCGGCAGGAATAGGATCAGAGTTTCATTCATTCTAATGAAATTCCGATCCGAACAAAGTCCAGAAATGCGAAAGGACGTTCGAAAAAAGTGAAAGAAGGCTTCGCGGAAACACGGAGGAAAGGTGAGAGTTGTAGGAAAATTGCTCTGACCACCGGAAATGAAGAACACTTTGCTCCTGCGCTGGTCAGAGATGGTCAGTCGTAGGAAACCTCCATAAGACAAGTAGTCCCTACTTTGTCTTATGTTTTAAAGACAACTAGAGCAGACCGGAAGAAATCAAGAACAGATCCTGAAAAAGGAAGAGAAAAGGAATCGATTAAAGAAAGGTAAGTTCTGCATGTTTTGCAAAATAAATGAAATTACTAATATCTTAAGTTACTTGTCCATTACTTGATGTACAGTTCGTGGTTAACAAAAATATCTTTAACCAGTCTACTGCACATCTTTTAGGCCACAGCAAATACATGGTTGGTATGAGTGATCAGAAGTAGTATCCATTTTCAGATATCTGCTGAGTAGTGATGTCCCGAACGGTTCGCCGCGGACTCCGGTCAGCAGACACATTCCAGCCAATCAGCAGCAGACCCTCCCTCCCAGACCCTCCCACCTCCTGGACAGCATCCATTTTTAAGCTGCATTCTTAGTGAGCTGTCTGGGAGGGAGGGTCTGCTGCTGATTGGCTGGAATGTGTCTGCTGACTGGAGTCCGCGGCGAACAGTTCGGGACATCACTACTGCTGAGTAGTGGTATTACATAATTTGGAAAACTAACAGACTTGCTTACTAAAGTTAGAATTTAAAGTGATTTAGAAGGGAATTTCAAATTCCGAACTAAATATTCTTCTAGATGAGATGCTGGAAAATCAAGACCGGGGGAGATTTAACAAAGTGATATAAATAGTGATCGCTTTCTTTATAGTGAATTCTGTCAGTTTCCGTAGAAGTTTTAATTTCATAAGCTCACCAAATTTACAGCAGGCAGAAAAATTAATGGCATACAAAAGATTTTAATAAAGGATGCTAAAATTCAGATAAAATTAGATATTTATTAACTAGACATAAGTGTTGGTGACACTTTGGTAACTATACCCCTATGCCTTCATATCACGCTCTAGCATATAGTCAGTCTGGTCAGCAACTTTAAATGTTCTGTATGTATTATGTTGTATGTATATGTACATAATGTATTATGTTGCTTAAATGCATGCAACCAAGAAATCTCACCTGCAATTTGCATTGGAATAAATTAAAATACAGTCTGGTTTACCAGTGTGTCATTCATGTATTTGCACGTCCTGAACTTGCAGAGCCTGCTCACACCATTTAGATCAGCCTCTTTTGCTTTCCAGATTTGATGTGTGAGAGCACATACATCAGTTACCTGCTTGCTTCTTAGCACAGCACTCTGAGCCAGCCAGGCAACTGCTGGACACAAAAGATTAGAAGTCCTCTCTCCCTGTCATGTGATTACTCTGTCTCGTAGATAATACAATATTCTGCTAAGAAATTTTATGAGTAAAAGTGTAAAAAAAATGTGAAAATACAAACTTGTAAAAAATAAAATTATTGAGAACTGCTGGACACAGTCTCACAGGAAAGCCCTTGCAGGCTTATGCTACATATTTAGTCAAACAACTTAGTGGTGAAAAGTAGACTTCTCTTTATGTAGAAGCTTAAAATCTCAGGGTTAATTTTTAAAGTATTTATGGTTTGGTTCCTAGCACCATAACTCCTACAAATGTTTGTGTACCATTTTTAGTCATGGTTGTGTTTTACAGCTGACACAAAGAGGATAGTGGAGGAACTGTCAGAGGAACTCAAGACCCTGGATTTGAGAACATCATCAAATAAAATGTCTTCTTTAAATCAAGTCTTGAATAGAAATGATTTTGAAGAGTCAATATCTACAGAGCAAGAACAGCAAAAAGATGAGATTGGTATGTTATGTAAACAAAAAAATCCACAAAAGCCCTTGGTACTGATGGACAGTAAATCCAACATTTCTTGGTAAAACATTCTGTGTATACAAATGAACATGTAAAATTTACTTAAAGGGAAACTATAGTCACAAAAACAACTTTAGCTTAATGAAGCAGTTATAGTGTATAGAGCATGCTCCTGCAGTCTCACAGCTAAATTCTCTGCCATTTTGGAGTTAAATCACTTTGTTTATGCAGCCCTATGCACACCTTCCTGCATGTGACTTACCCAGTCTTCCTAAACACTTCCTGTAAAGAGTCATCTAATGTCTACACTTCCTTTATTGCAAATTCTGTTTAATTTAGCATTTCCTATCTCTTGCTCTCTTACTAGCTTGCTAGATCCTGCAGTTCAATTTACAGAGCAGGAGATAAAAACTTTTAAAATAAGTTACATCTAATTGAAAATGAAACCATTTTGTTTTCATGCAGGCTGTGTCAGTCACAGCCAGGTGAGATGTGGCTAGTGCTGCATAAACAGAAACCGTGATTTAATTTCTAAATGTCAGATAATTGCGCAGTGAAATGTCAGAAGCATGATCTACACACAAAAAGTGCGTCATCAAGCTAAAGTTGTTTTGGTGCTTATAGAGTTCCTTTTCAAGAACACTTCACAGCGAATTTCCAACATGTGTTTTGGGACACTATATAGGTGCAGTGAAAATTATACATACACATATTTTTGGGAAAAATACATTCACAGGTGTTACAGGAATGTAAACTCATGACTTTCTAGTTAATCATGAAAATGCTGAGAATGCTCAGCCAGTTTCTTGTCTCTTACAGCTTTACAGAAATAAAAACAAATGCATGTTGTCCTACATATACTCACTAAAAAATTGTCATATGAATCCATGTGATCTGATTTTATGGAAACCGGAATACAATATCCAACCTAGAGGGCTGCACTCACCTGAACATGCACACCCCACAAGGGTGCCACTACAGGGAGTGCAGAATTATTAGGCAAATGAGTATTTTGACCACATCATCCTCTTTATGCATGTTGTCTTACTCCAAGCTGTATAGGCTCGAAAGCCTACTACCAATTAAGCATATTAGGTGATGTGCATCTCTGTAATGAGAAGGGGTGTGGTCTAATGACATCAACACCCTATATCAGGTGTGCATAATTATTAGGCAACTTCCTTTCCTTTGGCAAAATGGGTCAAAATAAGGACTTGACAGGCTCAGAAAAGTCAAAAATAGTGAGATATCTTGCAGAGGGATGCAGCACTCTTAAAATTGCAAAGCTTCTGAAGCGTGATCATCGAACAATCAAGCGTTTCATTCAAAATAGTCAACAGTGTCGCAAGAAGCGTGTGGAAAAACCAAGGCGCAAAATAACTGCCCATGAACTGAGAAAAGTCAAGCGTGCAGCTGCCACGATGCCACTTGCCACCAGTTTGGCCATATTTCAGAGCTGCAACATCACTGGAGTGCCCAAAAGCACAAGGTGTGCAATACTCAGAGACATGGCCAAGGTAAGAAAGGCTGAAAGACGACCACCACTGAACAAGACACACAAGCTGAAACGTCAAGACTGGGCCAAGAAATATCTCAAGACTGATTTTTCTAAGGTTTTATGGACTGATGAAATGAGAGTGAGTCTTGATGGGCCAGATGGATGGGCCCGTGGCTGGATTGGTAAAGGGCAGAGAGCTCCAGTCCGACTCAGACGCCAGCAAGGTGGAGGTGGAGTACTGGTTTGGGCTGGTATCATCAAAGATGAGCTTGTGGGGCCTTTTCGGGTTGAGGATGGAGTCAAGCTCAACTCCCAGTCCTACTGCCAGTTCCTGGAAGACACCTTCTTCAAGCAGTGGTACAGGAAGAAGTCTGCATCCTTCAAGAAAAACATGATTTTCATGCAGGACAATGCTCCATCACACGCGTCCAAGTACTCCACAGCGTGGCTGGCAAGAAAGGGTATAAAAGAAGAAAATCTAATGACATGGCCTCCTTGTTCACCTGATCTGAACCCCATTGAGAACCTGTGGTCCATCATCAAATGTGAGATTTACAAGGAGGGAAAACAGTACACCTCTCTGAACAGTGTCTGGGAGGCTGTGGTTGCTGCTGCACGCAATGTTGATGGTGAACAGATCAAAACACTGACAGAATCCATGGATGGCAGGCTTTTGAGTGTCCTTGCAAAGAAAGGTGGCTATATTGGTCACTGATTTGTTTTTGTTTTGTTTTTGAATGTCAGAAATGTATATTTGTGAATGTTGAGATGTTATATTGGTTTCACTGGTAATAATAAATAATTGAAATGGGTATATATTTGTTTTTTGTTAAGTTGCCTAATAATTATGCACAGTAATAGTCACCTGCACACACAGATATCCCCCTAACATAGCTAAAACTAAAAACAAACTAAAAACTACTTCCAAAAATATTCAGCTTTGATATTAATGAGTTTTTTGGGTTCATTGAGAACATGGTTGTTGTTGTTCAATAATAAAATTAATCCTCAAAAATACAACTTGCCTAATAATTCTGCACTCCCTGTAGGATCAAGTACACAACATATTAGATCCATAACACACACTCAATCGCTAAACCTCAATTTCAAAGCTCCCAGGATGTAATCTTTTTATTTTGTTATGAATGTATGTATTTTTATAGACTGTAACTAAACTCACATTATTTTTGCCTAGGTTACATTCTATTCTATTACATTCTGTGAGCTGTGTGTAGTGGCTGCAGTGGTATACTTGTCAGGGGGGTGTGTACGTATTTCATTATGTCCTAGATATAAATATATCTATAGAAAAATTATAGGTATACATAAGTGGTCATTATTTTGTAGTCTGTAGGTTTTTGTGTTTTTTTGTGTTTTTTTTTATTTATTTTATTTTTTTAACCTTGAGTTTTATATGCATCATATGTTCTACAATTTAGGATCTGAAGCATCTTTGGACGATATAACCACAGAGGAAGATGGGGAGAATGTCGTTCTTAATGAAGAGCATACAGAGACAGATTTCTGGAATAAAATTCTAGGACAGCCAAATGGAGAAACTGAAACTGCAGATGTTGATAAAATGGTATAGAAAGGTTTAGAAATGTTTTTGGTTTTGTGGGGTTTTTTTTGTTTTTTTTTTTGTTTTTGCTATCCTGATTATATTACCATTGTCACTGGGAGACGCTGGAAAAATGGAGTCTATGAAAATCACATGGTGATTAATTTTTAATGGGAAATTGGGAAATCACAAAGTGCGCCAAGTAAAAGCTGTGCATAGAAAACTCAGTGGTCCATACTTTGTATTATGTATATCTTTTCAGTTTGAATTCTATTGAAATATGATTGAGGGGTTTACGTTTTTTTGTGTTTTTTTTTTTATGAAAAAGTAATAAATGACAGGGTAGTATGTAACTTGCAATGTGACTTTTAATGCCTTATTTTCCAGAAGATTCTCATTCAGTCCCAGGGCATTTATCAACTGTTTACATGGCTGCAAGAAACATCGTATGCCTAACGAGTGCAATTGGGATATCTGCAGGTTACTTTACTATAAATGGTTACTCCAATCACCATGACTACTTCAGTTATTTTAAGTGGTCATGTTGCTTGCAGTCTGCTTAGAACTGAATCTGCACAGTTGTTTGAAATAAATTACTTTTCCCTTGTTCAACTTCTAGCTACATCATTAGGGTGTCATTGGCCAGCCCAGAATTATATTACATCAGTGCATGTTGGACATCTGTTGTCAGCACATGCAGCATGCTAGTGACCCGTAACAAAATGTTCTCTAAGCCTCTTCTCCCTGACATCCCTTCACCTTCAATTAGGGGTAGTGATGTCACTGGAGGTGAATTAGGCTGAAAGGTGTACTTGACCTCAACAGGTAAATTGTTGCATAATTCCTCTATTTATTTATTTTTGGGAAGAGGGGGGTATTTTTGACCTCTGTAATAGCCTTGTTCATTCACTAAACCAGGAGTTATGAAAATTTATGATTATGAAGATACCCATATATCCACACCACCCCAACGATATGATACATATTTGAAAGTGATATGTAAAATATTTTTTTTTTTTTAACTTGTGGTGAAAATGTACAGTTTAGTGTTTAATGGTATTGTATAGTTTTTAAAGGCATTTAAAATGTTGATACTTTGTTAACCCAAAAAATAAGAAAATAAATTTCTTTCCTATAGGATACATTTCCAAACCCGAACAACCCACCAGAGCCACCAAAAGGTAGGTTTTCTGTAAATACATCCATCTGAAGTTTTTTTGCTTCTGCATGTAAACTGGTCTGCACCTTTTTTTGCTTGCCACAAACTGTGAATACATTTTTGAAGCATTACTCACTACAGGTGCCAGTGATAGGCTGAGAGTGTCAGCTAACGCTCTCAGCCCATCACTTCAGCTCCTACACATTCTCATACGTTTGGTGAGGAAGAATTGGTCAGAAACTGTTTAACATTTGAAGGTGAGAAGGCACTGGTGTTCCTTTTTAATAATGAATTTTGGAAATTGCTAGGTCACCATTCAACTAATTTCTTACCAATTTATTATATAATGCATGTTTGTTTTTTTGTTTTTGTTTAATTTTTATTTTATTTATATTTTTCTCTCAGATTTACCGAATTCTCTTCGTTATAAGATAATAAGGAATCCAGAAGATCTAGTGAAGTTTATTACAGAATTAAAATCTTCCAGGAAGGTAGAGTTCTTATGCAACAAATCATGGCTTAACTGACATTGCCAAATGGAAGCATGGGGGAGGTGTCAAGTGAACCTCTTAAAATAGATATAGGCATGTAGTTTTTAACCATCTGGTTTGACTCCTGTTATACAATTAAATGTTCATACTATTAAAAGTTCAGTGGGTGTTTCAGTTGCTTTAAGACACGCTTCTCCTGCATACCCCTGTTTGGGAAGTAGGCTTCCAACCCCAGTATGTTTTAGTGGGCAATGAACCTCCCAGAGATCTAGTTGAAAAAAGACTGCATAGTGGTCTTACCAGGACTCGGCACAAATGCCTTTATTTGATTAACAAGACCATCCAAAGTACAAGGAACACTCTGCAGTAACTTCTTAGGAATCATGAACCAGTTCATGTTCTCTGACAATTGCAGTCTTCTGCTTGATTTCAGCCAAAAAATGTTGATTCGCTTGTCCAGGCAAGCCATTACATTATGTAATAGTCCTATAGGTTTAAAGCAGCTTGTGGCGTCCGTCATCTTAGGCAGGTCTGTGTACCTGCATTGCTTAGTTGTCAAGTAGGCTTAAAAGTTGCCAATGATTCTTGAGAAAAGTAAAGTATAATATGCCTAGAGATCCTTATTGATGGTGGGGGGTAACTGGATATGTGCTGTGTCTTCTAGCTTCAGGGAAAATGTGAGGAGAAACTGACCACGTCTCCCACACTGATGTTGTTGGACCGGCCCCAGGCAGGTCTCTGGGCAAAATATGCCCCTAATATTCAGAAATGTGTCCAGCAACAGACTTATAGAGAAAAAGAGTAGCCCTTGCAGTTTGAATGTGCGATATCTTTAGATAAAAAAACAAAACTTCTAAATGGGCAGAAAACTGCTTTTTCTCCCAGGACACTCTCTTGATGTGACTGATCAGCATGAGTCAGGCCCTGCCTCTGTCTAACTTCACCTGCAGTCTCCTAGTGTAGCATCAAAGGTAACTTTGCGTATCCTAAAGACACAGACCACAGACGCTGCCTACATAAAAAAAATGTGCAGCTTAATGCTTTCTAAGCTGTGAAATCTCATCCTCCCAACCCAAGCTACTGAGGAGTTAGAAGTGGGGAGACGTGAGACAGGGACAGCTAGGGGTTTGTGGAGTTGACATGGGTAGGGGTTGTTGGATGTGACAGGGATGCAAAAGTGAATTTTAAGTGAAGTGGGAGAAATATGGGTTGTTAAATGACGTGGAGAAAAGTTGTTGGATAACAAAGAAGAATATCTGAGTGGGTGTAACTGACCTAATGAAATGGAGGAAAAAGGGGGTGTTGGATGTGGCAAGAGAAATTATTTTTGGATGTGACCATGACAGGGGAAGGAAAGTTTTGTTGATGTGACATGGGGCAGTTGGTTGGAAGTGACATGGAACAGAGAGTAGACGAGTGAAATAAGGGGAAATTTTACAGACAAGCTTATGCAAAACCACCAGCACATTCCAAAACAAACTGACTCTCCATGCAAATATATCCCTGTGTTTACCGACTGCCAGCCAACATACACACATGGACGCTCCACATGCATATATCTGCATTCACTCACACTAAAACACACCCTTCACTCACTGCATTCATTACCAAAGCCCCTAAATATGTACATTTGTGATACATGTAATGCCATGTCACAGACAGACCAGGAGTCAAAAGCAAATCAGTTTGCTTTTGAGGTGGCAAGTTTTAACCAAGGGAGTGATTTATTTTGGGTTAACTGCATATAACCGTTTGCTTTTGAATCATTTCTTATATTTCAGGCCTTCTCTAATTGTAGCATAGCGAATACTAAAAAGGAGTCTTATAACTCCTAATTCCCTGTTAATTTAATTATACAACTTTTAGCAAGTACTATACATATTTTTTGTTAATATATGTTTACAATGTTACTTGTATTCAATCATAACAGGAGAAAGATAAGGACAAGGATAAGGACAAAGATGTGCAAAGTTTGCATAGTGAACAAGACTCCACCTCTGCATCAGAAACACAAACAGAGGAGGTAGAAGATGAACAGACTCTCTTGCAAGAGTTTGAAAAAGAGCTAGAAAACATCCTGCTACCAAAGTCTGACTTGCCTCAAATAAAAGAAAATGTGAAAACGGAGATGGAGAAAGAATTTGAAAACATTATTGATGAGGTACAGATACATTTGGAATATACAGTTCACCTACTGGAAAGAGATGTATATCTTGATCAAGCCCTATTGGCTTGTACATGGATATGCAAATCACTGGACTATGTAGATAGTTGGCAAAACAGAAAATTTGCCTTTTTGCATTCTAACCACAATACATGAAGTCAATCTGCTTCAGGGTTCATGTGAAGCAGAACTTCTTTGAAATGTTTCCACTTTTTTAGTTATTGCGTGTCCAAGCTTATTGATGTACTTTGGAAGCTTTCAATATCTGTCCACTAATGAAACATTGTGCATGATTTGATCGAAGTCGTTGTAAAACTGATCTAGTTAGGCCAGAATTATTGCGCTGGATAAATTCATGAGCTCAGTTTTGCAGCTTTGCTTTTTATTTTTATTTTCTCCTTTTTTCCTTTTTTTTTAGTTAAAATTTTTATAGTTTCTTTATGCATTTTGTAAATTTAAAGGGATGTGCATTACTTGCCATTTTTTACTTAATTTTATTTATTTTTTAACCTGCAAGCAAACACATTTTTAAGCAAATATACAAACCAAAATAAAACAAGAAAAACTTTGTAACTCCACTAGCGGAGTGTCTTGTATAAACCAAAATTGATTCATTAAGCTGAATGTTGATTTGGTGCTGATACTGTCCTTATAACTAAATGCTCTTCTTTTGTAAAATATCCAAAATATGGTACTCCTCTTTCTAATGTAGATGAATGTGACTTTAAAATATCTGTTATGGGTTGTCGGACAGGTACCCCAATATAGAATCCTTAAAATCATATGAAATATATTAAAATGAAAATGCGTTTGAAATGAAATAAATATAAATTAAAGCCCTATATATGACCCTGTAACTTTCTAAAGTCCCATAAAACCTGCACATGATGGGCATAGTTGTCATCACAGCATACAAATGTTTTCTTGCAGAAAAAGCTAACAGTTTTATGAAATGTACAGTTAAATACCATTCAGAACTTTTACATTTCTTTCACACACTTTTTTCATATTTTATTCAGATTAAATTATTTTTCATATATAAATATTTGATGAGAAATTAAAGCCTTATTGCAAACAAATTGATATATAAGAAGTGTGGGCGCGCTTAAAGGGACACTATAGTCACCAGAACTACAGCTTAATGTAGTTGTTCTGGTGAGTATAATAGCTCACTTCATTTTCACGCTCTGCATGGAGACACTAAATTTTCCTTATAGAGATGCATTGATTCAATGCATCTCGATGAGGAGGTCCTGATTGGCCAAAATGGCATTTGGCCCCGCCCCATGCAGGTTTTAGCCAATCTAATGCTTTTCCTATGATGTCACAAAGGGGGGGAGCCATCGCCGACTGACCTGGAAATAAGGAGAGTTTTAAACTTTTTTTTATAGGGGGGCTAAGGGGGTGGCAAGCCACCTAAATAGTGGGTTTAGCACTATAAGGGTCAGGAATACATGTTTGTGTTCCTGACCCTATAGTGATCCTTTAATATGCAAGAGGTAAGTTTATGGTTGAACAGACATATAGCTCAAATTCCAGGTTTTGGTCTGAACTTGTACAATTGCTTCCATCCTTAAAGGGTTAAAACAACTTGCCTAATATCATGTAGGTTCACTTCGTGCTGACAAAACAGCTCTGATGCAATTAGACTCCACAATATCTCTAAATGTGTCCTGTAGTATCTAAGACTTTAGCAGACGATCTTTTAAGTCTTGTAAGTTGTTCCAGCACATCCAACAGATGCTCAATTGGATTGAAATCTGAGGAATATGGAGGCCAAAGCATCATCTTGAACTCTTTGTCCTGTTCCTCAAACTATTCCTAAACATTTTTTTGCAGTGAGGCAGGGTGCATTATCCTGCTATAAGATGCACCAGTTGCCTTGAAGCAGTGTATATGGTCTGCAACAATCTCTAGGTAGATGGTATGTGTAAATAACACCCACATAAATGCCCGGAGCCCAACAAAGGTTTCCCAACAGAAATTTGCCCAGAGCATGATACTGCCTCATACGGCTTTCCTTTGTGTTGTGTTAGCCCTAGCCACATCTCTTTGACTGAGACTTCGTCTCAAACAGCCTCCATAAAAAATAAAAAAATTTTAAAAAGTTTTTATTTAGGTTTTATTTTTTCTTATGGAGATTGTGTGGGTCACAGTCAGGGGAGGTTTAAGTTTTAAATGACAGATAATTGAGTGGTGAGACTGCAGGGGCATGATTTATACAACTAATTTGTTCAATTATGTTAGTTGTTTAGTGTCCATTTATCTTGTACAAACCTTTCTTCTCACATAGCTCAATTTTTTTTATTTATTTTTTTTTTATTTTGTTATGCTGACATTTTGTTATTTTTACCACAGGCTCAAGAAGAGATGGAAACTGAAGGTTTAAAAGGAGAATTTGATAGGAAACATGCATCAAAGTCCCTAGTGACTACACTGAACAAATTAATAGACAAACTAGACAATGCGGTAAATGAAAAAGATGATGAAACTCTGGAGAGTGAAAAAGCAATGACACAAAGTGACACAGAACCAAGTGATAAAACACCTGGTATGTATATGGTTTTCTGACATTGGCACTGCCCACGTTCACTCCCACTTTAACTGGTGGGAAAAGAGCCCCTGACAAATTCCATCTCCAATTTTCTCTAGAAAATGTAAACGTTTTATTCAGATTGATTCATAGTAAATATTCTACTGTTGAAATTAAAAAAATTAATAAAAATAATAATCTTGATTGTAGTTCATTGATTTCAATGTTGTGCCACTTCATATAAGAGGCCACAACAAGAGGCCATAGTCTTAAATTAGAGGGACAAAGGTTTAAAAATATCAGGAAGTATTACTTTACTGAGAGGGTAGTGGATGCATGGAATAGCCTTCCAGCTGAAGTGGTAGAGGTTAACACAGTAAAAGGAGTTTAAGCATGCGTGGGATAGGCATAAGGCTATCCTAACTATAAGATAAGACTAGGGACTAATGAAAGTATTTAGAAAATTGGGCAGACTAGATGGGCCGAATGGTTCTTATCTGCCGTCACATTCTATGTTTCTATGTTTCTAAGAACCACTGATTTATCATACTTTATTTCTTTGTTACCATAGAAAAGGTTTGGTAGCTGAATTCATGCATATTTGTAAGTGTTGGTTACTTTACTTGGGAGCTGCTGCTAAAAGTGTAACTTTAAAAACTTTTTCATATCCTTAAATCCATCGTTCTGACCGTACAAATAAACCACGCCAATATTAAAAGCGAACAGTTGTCTTTGAAATTAATACTAGTAAGTGTTGATGTTTACCATAAACTACCTTAATTCCTGCCATTGATGGAAGCTGTTTCAGTGTCAAACAGAATGGAAGCCAATATATACTTTACATTTTTTTTTTTTTATAATTTATTTTGTATTAGTTTTAAGTATAACTGAACATGCTAGACTTCCACAGGATTGTAAAATATAAAGCGTATTTTGCAAAGATCCTCAATGATTGCTGCGTTTAGTATCCAATAGACACTGGGAAGGTGAGGTGTTTTTTTTTTTTTTTTTTGTTTCTTTGTTTAATTTTCCTGAACCTGTCCCTCGTGGCTGCCTCCATCTTAATCTGTTCAGTCCTTCTCCGCTCCTGAAGCTTCATCTCCCAGGAGCCTACATCACTGTGACAGCAGGATCCTCCATATACAACGCCTTTTTCCATATAGCCGTCACTAGTATCTGTCTTGTCAGCTGTAGGAAATCTAAAGACAATCTAGTTCCTATCTTTTGACTGTTGGCATTTCAGTTAAATACCGACACCGTCAATGTGAGTATTTCATAAAGATTTTATGTTCGTTAAAATATTCATTTTGGAGGGGTTCACGGGAGGGGGACGGAGCCTCTTTAATCTTGCCTTAAGGATTCATATGGGTGGTAATAAACATAGGCATAACCCCTCAGGCACAGTGACCTTAACTGAATGATTCACTTCCTACTGTCCAATGCCATTCTTAACTGTGAAAGCTTTTAATAATCTGTTCTGACATGGACATTCAGAACTGGCTGATTAGTGATCCACATGTTCATAATTCAAATAATAAAGAAAGAAATAGACATCTTGACTGATGGGTTAATTTTTGCTATGACCTTTTCACATTAGATGAACAAGCTGATGGTCGTGTTAAAGTCAGGGTCACTAGGATACAACGGGGCAGTCCTGAGCAGAATGAGAGGAAGGTGAGCGAAGTGAGCAGCGAGAACTCACAACTGAAACACATTGAAAATGTTATTAAAGACCTGCTTGAAAAGGAAGGACTAAAGGCAGAAGGTATGCCCCCACATACAGGTTGATGTCCACTGTCCACTTGGTTATGGTTCTACTATGATTCCTTATTCTTGAGATTAATTCTCACACTACTAATACATGCATTGTAGATCCATGTACTGAAACTGCCTTTACTTTTTTCTGCACCTTGTTGTAAGAGCACTCTTAACTCCCTTGTGTGTTTTGTGTTTCTAAAGGTGCTTTAATTCTTTGTGGCAAGGGGTGTTAAGCAATCAATACATTGATTTCTGTGTAGTCAATTTATAAAAAAAAATCCTCTTTCTTTTAACATATTACCTGTTACTTTGCTGACTTGCTATTAATCATAATTTCCCTTTTTATAATTGCATTTTTGGGTTGTGCTTTCCTTTAAAATCTATAGTCCTATAAGGTGCTTCTGTCTGACGCTGAAACAATCAAATGGCACTTTTTAATTTAATTTTCTCTTCTCTTTAACTGGGAAGAAATGCCATTGTGCTCATAAAATATAATTTTTACAGAGAATCCTGCCATAGCACAAAGTGTAATTCTTCAGAATCAAATCTTGGTGTGCCTCTGATGTCACTTTTCACAGATCTTAAAACATTTGTATGAGTAAACCAGATCTATGCAACAATAATACTGTCTGTCTTATATGCAGTTGTAAATATTTATTTAGAATTTAATTAATCACAAGGCTGAAGAATGATTTGTATCCAGGATTGCCATTATTTTATTTTATACACCCTTCCCTGAATAGTTTTTATTTATTTAAATTTAGTGCTGAGGTAAGTGCATTGTTTTTGGAAGAGTAACTGAATTATTATGGTAGCTGCTAATAGCAACAGCTGCCCTGTAGTTTTAACAGTTGCTAATATTGGGCAGGTAGAAATGTATGTCCTGGAGAGGAGTGTCACTACAGTATCTGTTACACCATGCATTGCAGTTTTTAATGATCCCCACTGTACAGTAAGGGATTGGTTTAGTAGCAAGGAATGTCATGTTGCTTATGGCACACACATGTTATGCAGTCTTAATGCAGTCCTGCATGGGGGGACATTTTCTTATAATGCTCCAAATGAAGCCTTTGGTGTGATCTGCAAAGTACAAATATACACAATTAAACCTAGTCCTGCTAAAGGCAGTAGGTGTCTTAGGGGAAACAAATGAAAAAAAGTGTGTGTGTGTGGTTTTTTTTTTTTCACCGTAAATATTTGTCAAGCTGCATAGCAAAAGTATTTACATGGTTTAATATAGTTTTTTCTTTTAAGGTAAAATTGAAATAAAGATACTTACAACTAATGCGTTTGGGGAGGACGGTGGACATTTACTCTCAGACGAGGATACTAAAACCTTGAAAGATATTGTCTTCAATATACTGGTATGTCCCTATAATATATAGCCTCTTGCTATTTGCCTCAGTGCAACGTAATCCTCCTTGTGAAGAAGTGATGATGATTATTATTTATATAGCTCCAACTTATTCCACCGTGATTTACAATATTAGAAAGAGGGGGAAAATCTAACAATACATGAGACAATTTACAGGAACAATAAGTTGACGAGGACCCTGCTCAAAAGCGCTTACAACCTAGAGGAGGTAGTCCATAAAAACACAATAGGAAGGGTATCGTGGGGGATAGCAACTACTTGATGGGATGGGAATGTCGCAGAATTGGAACGTTAGAGTAGAGTTTGGTATAATAAGAGCAAGCAAGAAAAATGTTTGTGAAATTAGTTTGCCTGGGAGGCCTTTGGCAGTTCTGAAGAGAGGTTTTGCAGGACTTATTAAATGATTGAAGACTAGGGGAGAGTCTGATGGGAATAGGCTGTTCCAATGGAGTAGAGATGCCCCCGAGAAGTCCTACATATGCAAGTTAAAAGAATGGGTACGAGCAGAGGACAGGAAAAGATCAGACTTCAAAGTTGTCTGTTCTATTCATAAGCCGCAGGTAATAACAAGGCAATAAGGTGTTTTTATTGATAAAGAGCAATTTTAGACCAAAATTTTAAAAGTGGAAATGAGGGGTTGTACCTGTTACTGACTATTAACAGCTGCATTTACAAAATAATCACACATGATACTAATACATTGTTTAATCAAGTTACTTATTTTCAATATACGTGCATCTGAATTTAATTGGTCCAGGTTCAAGGTTCAGAAGAGGCCCATAAAGAACAGAAACGACAACAGCAACTGGAGGACAACTACCGTTTTGTGTGGAAACAAGATCAAGATGATTCAAAAAGCACAAGTGCTGCTACAGAGTCTGATGATGTGGAATTTTAACATTGTTATAGACTGTTCCTTAAAAGACAGCAGATGACTCCCCCGCGCTCCCTTGATCTTGTGCTCCATTACAAATTTTAAAAATCCCTCATTTTGAAAATTGTAGCCTCATGCAGCCACAGTTTTGCCTGCAGTCTTTTTAAACACAAAAGGCGTGCTGAATGTTGCCTAGCAATATTGGTAGGTTTTTATGTACAGATGTGTGGGTTTTTTTTTTTTCCTCTCTCATAGGAAGCATTTTGATGATGGTGTGATCAAATGGAAATGGTCAGTAAAATGGTCAAGACTATCATAAATTTGACTGTTAAAGGGGTATTTTAGGCACTTTTGCCATTACAGTTTATTGTAGTAATATTGCAGTATTATTTGGATCCTGTTCCCCCAGGTTTTTGTTAATCAGTTTTTTGAGCACTTTTGGGGGGTGGGGGGGAAACAAACAAGGCTCTTCTCACTCCCTGAGCAATGCCTCTTAGCAGACCTTACTCTTGCTTGTTATCTGTACAAGTTGAATTGGGTTTAGATAGCAATGATAACAAGCACTGAGCTAAGAGGAACTTCTGCATTATCTTGGTGGTACCTGAGGAGGGCAGACAACTGCTTAAACCCTTTGGCAAACATTAGAAAAATAAAAAATACCACTTTATCATTAAAAGCACAGTCTAAGACACAATCTCACACGGTTAGACACCACACTTGTAATATGGAAAATGTGGCTTCATGGGAGGATTGAAATATGGCACCCTCCAGAACCTCCCTTCAGTTGTCTACCTTTCTTCTAGGAAGAAAGCCCTAGGCTCCCGGCGAGTGAGCTACACACCTTATAATAGTTTAACTATCATAATTTTGTGCTCTGCCCACTATTCAGCTATCCAGTGGGCTGCAAGAATGCTTTGTGAAATATTCCTTGCAGCTTGCTAAGGACAGTCTAGGCCCACCACTTATGTTTGGGCCTCCAAAAAAAACATGGACAGGTTATATAATACTAGTTCAAGAAACATGACTGTACAGCAAAGGTTGTGTTGACGTCTTATAGAATTTATTGTGGTGTTAATAAATTCCCAATTCTTACTTGGAAAGTCTTCAGTTTGGCCTCAATTTTTCAGTTCACATTTTAAAGTGAATAAATCCCTTGATCACTCATTGTTCTTGCCCATTTATCAACAAGTTTTTGTAGGTGTTTTGCATTGCATTCATGTAGCGCTGTTTGTGTATTATATATGATGGTGAAAGTTATGTTAAATAGGCATTATAACCACTCTTGTCTGCTCTAGTGGTTGTTGTGCCAACATGCTTCTAGTGCTGTCCACTGGTTCCTTCACAATGGCAGGAAGGACCCTAAAGGTTTGTGCGGAAAAACTTTTTCATATAGTTTGACAAAGAAGTCTGAGGATTGTATCAAGCATGATGGCAACATAACCACTAAAGTGGCCTAAATGTTACAAATGTTTTGTGAGTGTATATTAACCCGCCTCTCCCCCTCCTCCCTCCCCTCCTTCCCAAACCCTTCTTCTCTATAGTTGCTTGTACAATGTGTCCATCAAACTGTTAACTATGCACGAAAAGCCTCTCCTATTGTTTGAAAGGTCTTACTTTAAGGCTAATTGAGGTTGTGTTTTTCCTCTATTTCTCTCTCCCTTCCACCTCTTATCCTGTGTGCACTAGCCATGTTAAAAGTTAATTCAAAAAGCTTTATGTGAAAAATGTTGCAAGTGTCCATTCTGAATGTGTTTAATATGGTTGGAGTTTCCAAAAATAAAATGTAAAGTTAAAATTAATTTTAAGAGCACAGTGAGAGGGAAACGTTCATGTAAAACAAAGGCTGTCTGTCTATCCTTTCCTTTACATGAAATGTTTCCTTTTCCCCTTGCTCTTAATTCCTTCTAATGTAATGTAAATTTTAAAAATCTTCTTTAGAATTTGGATATCTTCAAATGTTAATTTTGCTATTGTATAGCTCAATAATTATTGAAAGAGTAAACGGCTTAAATCTTTTCTATCAATTGTACAGTTTTTTTTTGTTTTTTTTTTAATTTATTTGTATCTTTCTTATTCCTTAACAAAATCCCTAACAATAGTACATGGTATAGTTGCTGAAAGAACAGAAAGTGCTTGACATTTTGTTTAGTTTAGCGTCCATGAAAAGGTAATGCAAGTTAGGGAAAACTGTGAAAGATGGATGTAGGCCTTTTACTGCAGTCAAAACCCGGTTCCCTAGCTGGGTGCTAAAAAAAAAATGGAAATTTTTGTGCGTTAATAATATAAAGAAAAGGAAACCTTGATATTTACAAAATAACTTATTTTTCAGTCTAGTTAAAATTTCTGTACAAGTTCATTAGAGTTGCAAATAGTACAGTAAAGATCTCAAGACTGTAAAAATCACAATAAACTAACTCATGCTATTTAAAAATTACCACTAGAGGGACGGGCACTAAGGCAATGTATTGGGTACTACCAACCTAAAGAGGAATCATTTTGGTGTATAGATACAGGGCAAGGGGAGACTAAAATCTCTCTCTCTCTCTCTCTCTCTCTCTCCTTTCCCTCTGCCCAAGCTAATAAAGTGCAACACAGACAATTTATAACACAAACCATGTACTCTCCACCCATGGTAATACTAGCTGCTCAGAGGACACCTAGGCTGGACTGATTGCAAACAGTAGCTCAAACGTGAGTATGGTGTCACATGATTGCCGACTCTCTGACGTTCCAAGTTGTTTACTAAAGCAGCCTGCTACAAGAAAAAGCAAAAAACCACACCAAAACACACGTATAAAAACAAATACAATTGGGATCAAGTACGGGTATTCACATTTTAAATCGCTACTTTAAAGCTCCCGCTTGTACCGTCCTTGTGGCATAGAGCAAGCTGTGTACACTGAATGCAGCGCATATTGCACAACCGTTCATAGTGTGTATATATGACATAATAGTGGAACACCCACCTTTAAAGGAACACTACAGGTTCAGGAAGGGAAACATATTCCTGAACCTATAGTGTTAAACACATTACCTTGTCCCCTTAAATATAGTAAACTCTTACCTTTTATTCCAGACTTCTGGCTCTGCCCCGATCTGCTTTCTTGGCTGACATCAGAAATGGTGAATTCCCGTAGGAAAGAAACAGAATGTGAAGGCAGATAAGAACCATTTGGCCATCTAGTCTGTATTGGATTGGCTGAAATTGCAAAGGAGGTAGAGCTCCTTTTTACTTTTTATAATATATGAGAGCCAATGGATTACGGCAAAAACAGTGAGCTGCTGGAGCAGTTTGATTGCCTCACGGTGTCGCTGGGCATCCAATGTACTCTTCAGGTATTTCCAATTGCACTTCTTGATGAGAATGCCACAACATTGGCAATGTACCACTGAACAGATGAGGTTGAGGCTTGAGGGAGTGTGTGTCCATCTTATGTCCCTTGCCCTCTCTGGATACAAAAAGTGTGTAAGGCATGTCTCACATGTACTTGATTCCTGCTGCTTGTAGATGGGTGACAGGCCGAAGAGATGCTATGCTAAGATCTTCAAAAAAAAAAGGACAGGCTGGAGATTTCAACAGAGTAGCCATAAATCCCTGTTACCTGCCTACTCTGAACACTCAGTCCAGGTGTACTAATTTCACCGGTTTTAGGTGGTACCAGTGTGGAAAGCGAGTAACAAACATCCTGGGGCAGTTCGTCAGTGCCAACAGCGACCTCCACATCCATGATCTTCATGTTGTGCCACCTCATAGCATCCTCCAGGCTAGCGGTGAGTGAGACTGACCTGCTGCTCCGTTAATTGCTGGGTAAGTAAGGCATTATTGAGCTGTGCTTGGCAGGCAGCCACAGAGTTGTCCTTCACAGCCTTTTATCCAACCGATGAGGGTGTGCATTTCCTTCCTTGGAACATCATGCAGGAGGCTTCTAAGATATGCTATCGTCATTAGGGCATTTTCCTCTCCTATTGCAGGCCTTTCCTCAGCCACCACCGTTGGTTTCTGGACTGTAGGGATTTATTATCATTATTATTATTATTATTATTATAGGTGTTATAGTGTTTTACAATATTAAAGGAGTTGAAGATTTAACAATAAAAACAAACTTAGAGGAACAATAGGTTGAAGAAGACCCTGCTCAGGTCTGGAGCATCTCTGCGGGGTGGCTGCCATCCTAGTTTGCGGCCTAGTGTGGAGCCGATTTGAGACATCACTAGATCCCTCGCTTATGTCCAGCTAAAGTTTATGACTTTCTCCTCTCCTCCTCCCCACATGTCAGGAAGTAATATCCTTCGACAGGTCACGCTAGCTCCACACTGCCAATTTCTCAATTTTAACAGTAATGCAGTGTATCCATTGTTAGAGAGCCTCTTCAAAATTCGGCCCTCTTTTTCATCTTATTTGTGACAATTTTTTCCCAAATTATATGCGATACCAAACATTTGCATTTCCCTTATGAAATTTAAATTTAGACTGCTTTTCAAACAATATATCTTATCAAAATTGTCACAATATGGCATTAAAGTCGATAAAATATGCAAATCCACTACTGGCTATACATAGACGTTTTGGATTTATCAAGGGAAGGAAATCCATCTTGACTCACTGGGATTTGTGGGCACAAATGGCAAGATTGGGTGGGATCTGATCCTTCCCTTGTTAAACTTATTAGCTCCTTTGGCTTCCAATATCATTTCTTTGCAGATGACACGCAAATCTACCTGTCCTCTCCTGATCTTTCCCCGTCCCTCTTGACTAGTGTCTCTGACTGCCTCTCTGCTGTTTCTAACTGGATGGCTGCCCACTTCCTTAAACTAAACTTGACCAAAACTGAAATTCTGTTTTTTCTTCCTTCAAGTGTTGTTACTCCTGTGTCTGTCTCCCTCCAAGTCAACGGTGCTACCATCAGCTCCACCATGCAGGCTTGCTGCCTAGGTGTTCTCTTTTGTTCTCTTTGATTCCGACCTCTCCTTCAAGCCTCATGTTCAATCTATCGCCAAATCCTGTCATTTCCATCTCAAAAACATTGCGTGCATCCGCCCCTACTTAACGCCAGATGCGACTAAGGTGTTGGTCCATTCCACTGTATTTTCTCGCCTTATGCGGGTAGTGGATGCATGGAATTGCCTTCCAGCTGAAGTGGTAGAGGTTAACACAGTAAAGAAGTTTAAGCATGCGTGGGGTAGGCATAAAGCTATCCTAACTATAAGATAAGGCCAGGGATTAAAGGACCACTATAGGCACCCAGACCACTTCAGCTTAATGAAGTGGTCTGGGTGCCAGGTCTATCTAGGATTAACCCTTTCTGCTGTAAACATAGCAGTTTCAGAGAAACTGCTATGTTTACAAATGGGTTAATCCAGCCTCTAGTGACTGTCTCATTGACAGTCCACAGAGGCGCTTCCGCGCTTCTCACTGTGATTTTCACAGTGAGAAGACACCAGCGTCCATAGCAAAGCATTGAGAATGCTTTCCTATGAGACCGGCTGAATGCGCGCGCGGCTCTTGCTGCGCATGCGCATTCAGCCAATGACTGGGAAAGGAGGAGGAGAGTCCCCAGCGCCGGGAAAAAAGGTAAGGGATTAACCCCTTCCTCACCCTAGAGCCCGGTCGGAGGGGGACACCTGAGGGTGATGGGGACCCAAGGACCCTATAGAGCCAGGAAACCGAGTATGTTTTCCTGGCACTATAGTGGTCCTTTAATGAAAGTATTTAGAAAATTGGGCAGACTAGATGGGCCGACTGGTTCTTATCTGCCGTCACATTCTATGTTTCTGTCTGGAAGTGATGCGATGGAGCCTGGAGTGGAAACGGCTGCCGCGTCACTAAGAGCACTGTGGAAATGCGGCTGCATTTGTCCAGCTGAGAAAGCCATTTCAATCATGGCGAAATGCATCCTGATGACTAATGAGAATTTAAAGTACTCATTGGACTTTGTTATGTTTATTTTATGTAGTAAACAATAAATTTGATTTAATAATTTTACTTTTGGCATCCGGTTGCTGCTACTTACAAAGAGGAAGTGTGATCCCAAACCACAAAATGTGCTGCTAATGAGGCTCCATTCTTGTGAGTACCTTATTTATCTTACTTTATTTATAAGGTTTTAGTGCAATACTGTTTGATATATTTTTTCTCTTGAGGCATTACATAGGATTAGCCAAGAAGAACAGTTCCTCCAGGAAGGAAGAGTCGCCCAAACAGACCCCTTTGCTGTCTAAACAAGAGCAAGGTTCTTAGCTCTTATATGTGAGTGTTCCATTGTCACACGATATACATTTGTTTTGGATATGTTTTTGTGTAGATATTATATTTTTAAAGGTATACACTACTTGTATGTACTGATTTACAAAGTTTACTTTTAAGGTATTTTAGAAAAAATAAAATTAAAGACTAAGCTCTGCCGGGTGGGGAAAGCCTTCCCACACCGTGCAATTTGACTCAGAGTGCTCTGATAGGTAAATCTTGACCCTTACCTTGAGTCCCCCTTTTTACTTAGGGCACCCACTACTAATGTGTGGGTTGACAGTAGTCCCGTTATCACTTAGGGTCCCCACACATTAGCGGTGGGTAGGGGCCTCAAGTGATAGGGGGGGGAATTACAGGAGGGGAGACAAAAAGTCCCCCCCCCATTTGTCACTTAGGGCTTTCACTCACCGCTAATGGGTGAAGGCCGGGGGGGAGACACTAAGTCTCCAGTTTAGTTTAATACCCCCACTTGCGGGGCACAGGTAAGGGCCGTGTCCCCCCTGTTAATTATTTTAACTCGCTATTTAGTAGACACACCCTGCTATATAGCAAGTAGAGGCACGAGGGAGATTTTAAACTCCCTTAATTACTCATACTTTACTGTGAAGAATACATTTGGGATATACTCATTGCGATCTCCAATTCGATTGATACACAATAATTTTTGATTAGTAAAATTTCAATTTTGTGAAATTTTTTTGTAATTGTATTATGCGGTTTTACATTAAACTCTTCTAAAGGGTATTTACCACCTGTTATGTTAGTCTCATAAAGACCATTGCAATACCTGTATACCCCCTCCACATCGTTTTCTAGCATTTACAGTAGCTGACTCCAAGCTGACTTGTGGAAGACCTATTTTCTATGGTATAAGTGACTCCAGTTTTCCTACCTATGAAAACCTTAATATTAAATTCAATCCTCTCTTTACAGCAGCATGATATCCTAAAATAATTTCACAAGCAACATATCAAAAAAATCTCTAAATCCATACTACATGCAAATCCTGGTTTAATAAGTTCTCTTCCACTAGGTCTTTTACTTCTGAGTCATCAATGGGCTCTGGAAAAATGCTGATAATGTAGGAGTTGTTCATTTTTCTTTTCTTTCTCATCATCAGTTACGTAACTATGTAAATATGGTTTGTGCAGGTGTATTAACCTGTGCAAGACGCATACTATATACGGAAAAAGTTTTCATGCAACATTTAGGAGAGTTAATATTTGCTAAGATTTTGTTTCATTTCTAAGATGCGTGATGAAGCAGCTTCATACTTGGTCATCATGACTAATCTCATTGCTGCGTGGGTTTGGTGTCACTACATCAGAATTCTTGTCTTTTTTAAAAAAAATATATATTTTAGTATGAAGAAATCAAATAAAGAAATTAAATCATATTTAGTAAAGCGTTATGAAAAATTACTTTTGTTTTGTCTTAACTTAAAATAATCATAGTCCACCCTTTTTGGTGGAAACATGGTGGCTTTCAATATTGCTGTATTTCTACATTGTAAAATGATCTACATATGGCAAACTTAATACAGTGGGACCTTGGTTTACGAATTTAATGCGTTCTCTGGGACGTTTCTTATTGCGAAAAATTTGTAAACCAAAATGTGGTTTCCATTAGGAGTGCATTGAAAACCAATTAATGCGTTCTGGAGGTCAGAAAAAAGTCAAAATGAGCTGGCATGGAAACCAACCCACAATGCAGAACACACAATGGGCTGTTTTGATTAGTGCAGAGTTTTATTTATTTGTTTTTAATTTATTTATTTGTTATTTTGGACCTGTTTGCTGGGATCCTGTGATTGAACCATTTTATATGATGTGCCTGTTTTTCACTTCAATTTTGTAAGTGTGTCTTTATATTAAAGTGTCTATTTTGACTGAGATACTCTGCACTATTATTATTTTCTTTTTTTCCCTCTATATTTGCCATGATGCTCCACAAGTCCTGAGGTTTCTAGTATCTTTATGATACGCCTACAATCAATTTTGGTTTGTGAGTGTGATTATTGCATTTACTTTCCATCTCTAAATTGTTGCAACATTATTGCACTATGTTTGTTTTTTTTCTGTTATACAATAAAAGACATGCAAACGACGAAGCTCAGTGTAACGGATCGCCTGGCACCCCGACTGGGTACCTCTGTTAAAGGATGCTCCTAGCGCTTCCTGAGGACTCCAAGCACTGCAGCAGACACCACAACCACCGAACCGGAGAAGCATATGAATCCTCTCAAGCATATGAATGTTGTAGACAGTTGAATAGGAACCATACGAATAGGTTTACTCTCCTAGCAGTCAAACTGGAACAGCATACAATAAATCCTTCCCCCAATAATGAGACGACACTTCACTTTGAGGGTTAAAACAGGAACTCCCCGTACTGTCACATACAGTCTCTTTTATTCCCAATCCACAAACATAGTACAGCCCACAGGGCGTTACAAAACAACCAATCAATCCGTACAATACACCCAGACACTCCCACACAAAATCCTCCCCTCTGCATGTGATATGATTACTGAACACAATGGGTAATCTCATTATCACCGGCAGAGGAATACAGTTTTTACACAATATTTATAACTTCTAAAATATACATGTCACAAACATAAAACATACATTTTCATAATCAATCCATTCAGGGAACAACATATTAAAAAATGGCACGAATCAGACCAGGGGTTCAAAAGTTAAGGGAAAGTCCTTTGTGACTAAATGAAGCATGGCTTTCTGGCCCAAACCAGTTTCAGAGTCTTCTATCCTGGAGAGTAATTCAATTATCTCCCAGGACAGACACAAGACTCCATTAAGCACATGGTTGCAAAAAGACACAAAACACTTTAAAATACATAGTCACCTTTTACCCATAAGACACAGACATTTCACATATCCCCAGATAGCTGGGATCTGAGCGCACAAAACTACCGAATAGCGCTCAGATCCTATTCATACAGTTCAATTGCCATGGAGCCGAAGTCTTTAACTACACGAATGGAATCCATGGCATAGCTATCTGGGTTAAAACATTCACATAAAGTCTGGTACATAGTCCAAAGGCAAGAGGCGGGCAAGCAGCCCCCTCCAAGGACACGTGGCGCGGTCGGTTTCGCCACACTCAGCTCCCTACCTTTCCACAGCTTGAGAAATGCACCAAAAAGTCCCAAAACAACTGCAAACAATTATCAGAATGGTACCAAAACTTGATGCAAAAGCCGCTCCAACACCTCCACACTCGACGCCACATGCTACTCACAGCCTCCAGCATGCAGAGGGTGGTGCTATAAACCTCCCAGGTGCAATGCATCCTGGGGAAACTTGCTTTATATTGTAAATTGTAAACCGAGGCATTATTTTCAACGGATTTTCATTTGTAAACCGAAAATTATGTTAACCGAGACGTTTGTAAACCGAGGTCCCACTGTACTAGTGTGAAATATATAGGTATATGCCTTTGTGGTTAATATAAGCTATTTCTGTTACCTTATCAGAATCTGCCATAACTCAACAGCCTGGTTTTAACCTTTTCTGCTTGTTTCTCTCAGTATGGTAGCTATCTGTATTTCAGAACCTTGCCCTCCTATCCAATATAAAATAGTACTGAATCTCTCAATAGCCATGCTTTTTATGTGATCCTATGTTTTTTCTGTAGAAATTTAGTTTCTCTTATTACATCTGGAAGGTTAAAAAAAAAAATGCAACTTTGTTCAGTCTCTAAGATCAAGTCGTTGTGAATTACATTAAAAGAACCTGGACAACTCCCATACTTATATAAACTTATTAGGGATGTGCGTGGGCAAAAAATCTGGTTCGGAAATTCGGGTAAGTAAAAAAATTTGTAAGATACTCATTGAAATAAATCAATAATGAATACAGGACTCAGTGGAAATAGAAAAGCAAATAGCAGATAAATATATAAGAATAACATTGATTCCTCTTTAAATGTGTCAGCTAGTCAGATCATAACCTCCTATAGAATAAGGTAGGTGAAATCCACTGGCTGTTAAAGGATTAATCTAGTAAAGATTCTGTAATATATAGAATCAATACACCATGCTGAAAAGTGATGAATAATAAAAATAATAGATCCCACAGGGGATTATAAAGTTCTTATAGCTAAGTCTAATATATGGTGCAGCAGACAGAGTACTGTTTATGAAAATGTATTAGTACATATCAAATGTCTACAAATTACATAATTATAAAAAAGACTAGTAAATAAAACAGTCCCAAATGAAAGAAGCAATATACCAGGTATAGCAGACTGGGGGTCCAAAGATGTTAGTAAAACTTTCTTACCAGCCGGACAGAGGTGAATGGGGACCTCCTCGTGCTGGAATAACACTGTACTAGCCGCGTGCGTTCCACTGCGGCTGCTGGATGCGTTCCAAATGCTCACTCTCAGGAACCGATCTGTACCAATGTGGAGATGCCGCCTAACGTGTTTCGTGATCACAGATCACTTCATCAGAGTAAAAAAAATGTGTCTGCTTCGGCAATTCGTACCAATGGCATTAGGTTAGATTCAGCACTTTGGAACTGACGAATGGTATTCGGTTCGGGCACACAGCATTCAAGCATTCGTTTTGGGCATTCAGCAGTTCGGCATGTCGTTAGTTTCAGTCATTCGGCAGTTCGGAATGTCGTTCGTTTTGAAAAATAAACATTTGTTTTTTTTTCTTAACCCCTTAAGGACGGAGCCAAATGTACACGTTGTGAACAAAACAAAATGTAAACAAAACCTGGCATTTGCGCTACATGTCTGTCCAACCGTAATACACCTCTTTCATAGTAAATGCACCCACCCTTATTATATATCATTTTATTCAGGGAAACAGGGCTTTCATTTAATATCAAATATTTAGCTATGAAACATAATTTAATATGAAAAAAATGGGAGAAAATACGATTTTATTGGATTTTTTTAGTTCTACATGACATTTAAACGGTCAGTGTCATAATACTGTTTGCTTTTACTGCAATAAAATACACATATTTGTATTCAGCAAAGTCTCACGTGTAAAACAGTACCCCCTATGTACAGGTTTTATGGCGTTTTGGGAAGTTACAGGGTCAAATATAGCACGTTACATTTGAAATTGAAATTCGCCAGATTGGTTACGTTGCCTTTGAGACTGTATAGTAGCCGGGAATGAAATTTACACCCATAATGGCATACCATTTGCAATAGTAGACAACCCAAGGTATTGCAAATGGGGTATGTCCAGTCTTTTTTAGTAGCCATTTGGTCACAAACACTGGCCAAAGTTAGCGTTAGTATTTGTTTGTGTGTGAAAAATGCAAAAAACGCCAATTTTGGCCAGTGTTTGTGACTAAGTGGCTACTAAAAAAGACTGGACATACCCTGTTTGCAATACCTTGGGTTGTCTACTATTGCAAATGGTATGCCATCATAGGGGTAATTTTCATTCTTGGGCTACCATAGGGTCTCAAAGGCAACGTAACCAATCTGGCGAATTTTAATGTGAAAAAAATGAAACGCAAGCCTTATATTTGACGCTGTAACTTTTGAAAACACCATAAAACCTGTACATGAGGGGTACTGTTGTACTCGGGAGACTTCACTGAACACAAATATTTGTGTTTCAAAACAGTAAAAAGTATCATAGCAATAATATTGTCCGTTTAATGCTGTTTGTGCGTGAAAAATGCAAAAAACGTCACTTTTACTGGTGATATCATCGTTGTAATACATTTTACTGTTTTGAAACACTAATATTTGTGTTCAGCGAAGTCTCCTGAGTAGAACAGTACCCCCCATGTACAGGTTTTATGGTGTCTCGGAAAGTTATAGGGTTAAATATAGTGCTAGCAAATTAAATTCCCTTTACTTTCGGCATGGGTTGTCATGCAGGTCCTGCTAATTGTAATTAATTAAGATACCTAATTATGTAAAAATATTACATAAATATATATGTAGAATCAATATATGTATATATATACGTATGTGTATATATATGTATATATCTATATAATTTTTTTTAAATATTTTTATTTATATATAGGTATATATATAGTGATATATACGTATATATTTATGTGTATAAATATATATATTATTTCGTTCTATGTGTATTTTGATATATATATATATATATTAATTTCACAATACAGTTAGAACGAAATAACACACATCTATATATTTTTTAATTATTTATTTTTAATTATTTTTGTAATTTTATTTTTTAACGTATTTACATTTTAATTTTTTTTATAATATATATAAATATATATATAACAATAATTATATATATATTTAATCAGTATCAGTGTACGTGTAATTTGATATTAATATATATATATAATTATATATATATTAATAGTAAAATACACCTAGACGGTGTACATGTGTGTATGTATATGTGTATATATATACTTTGATCATATATATATAATATATATATATGATCTAAGTATATATTATTTATTTTTTTACACTATTTATTTATTTCATTTTTATTTTCAGCCAGCAGGGGGACCACCTGTCATTACAGGCAGCCCCCCTGCTGGCAATACAGAAGCCAGCTATCCCCGGCCATGTGATTGTGGGGTCCTAGCGAGGCCGTGGGGGCTTCCTGGAGGACGGTCGTGCCGCGGGGGGCTCCCTGGGAGTCCCCCCCACCGCGATCGCCGGCGTGGGACCGCCGGCGACCGGGTAAGTACAGAAAGACCGGAGGGCGTACTATTACGCCCGGCGGCGTTTAGAGCCGCCTATTAGAGGACGTAATAGTACGCCCTCCGGTCTTAAGGGGTTAAACAGCAATG